TTTCCGCATTAGTCTACACATACAGATATACACACACATATATACATACAGTACATAATACATATACATATAAAGTACTTGCAGTATATAACCTAAAATGTACAATAATATATATATATATATATGCGTATACATATATAAAGCACCAGTTATGCAACCATGCAAAATACACGGTTACTCGAACCACACGACAAGGCTTTCATCAATAGCCCATGAAGCTCTCCCTTTGGACTCAGCTCTCATGGTGGCCTTGCACACAGCGCAGCTGTAAGGACTGTGAATCATCACCTTCAGGCGGTCAAGGATGCCCCCTTCCAAGCATCCCGAAGATTCCCAAAGCTGAAGGGGCACTTTTCGCAGCTGTCATGCACTCAACACACTTTTCATGTTGCCATGGCATGCGCCCATGGTTGAATCGTGCAGACTTTAAAGCACCGTCAGTACACGTGCCTTCCCTTTGTCCCAGAATCCAAGGGCTCTGCCAAGGTGTGGTGGCTAGAAGTGGTTGGAAGCAGAGAGCGCTGAACCTCGGTAATGCAGTGTTCAAGTGCTTCACTAAACGCCAAGGAAGGACGAATGCTTCACGGGGAATCTCGCTCAAAGCTGGGTAGGCAGAGGGTGGATGTGCAACGCAACCTTCTTGGAATCTTCATCTGTGCTCTGGGACACCCTGCCCGCAGCTGCTTCTTCGCCTCCTGCAGCGGTTAGCCACTGTCAGCCGTGTTTGATGGGTTGCGCTCATACCTCAAACTCCCGTCCCATTTGTAAGTCATGCCTCACGTGTTCTTGACATGGGCTCTTGCGGTCGGGGCTCGCCAGCAAAACAAAGACGGAAGAAGCCATTGCAAAAGCTGAGACATCCCACTGCAGGAGATGCGAACATTGTACACGATTCAGATGACACATGTCACACACACCTAAGGCTTCATTGCGCGCCATAGGCGGCAGCACGCACTACGAAACTACGGGCACCGGGAAGAAATGAAAAAATGACACAACGCCACTTGCTCCAAACCCCGGCCTTCTGCTTCGAGGCGGCTCGGTCCTCGGGGGATTCCGGCTGCAGAGGCTCCTGGCTCCCATGTGTGCGAAGATCCAACCACTGGGGCCTCATGTTTCAGGAGCTCAGCAGGAAGCCTGCACATCTGAAGATGTCTACATCTGCATGTAGCGCATAATAAGCACCCGGTCAGATGTTTCAAAGAGACTACTTTTCTGCAACAACCAAAATTCGAAATCGTGGGCCCGTTTTGGTGGACAAGAGCAAGTTCCGGCAGCTCCCCGACAATAAACACAACTGCATGTACTCAGTGTACTCTTCCGTTCTGTCAGAATCTCCAGGCCCCAACCGCCACACACCCAGCGAACCCAACCACACCTCGACGGTGGAGCCCCGCCGCACCACCTCCACAGCCCCACCAAGTCCTCACCCCACCCCACCATCCCCATCCCCCACCAAAAACCTCTGCCACCAAAGCCCCGTGCCCCACACATCACCACGCCAACCAACGGCCAAGCACACCATCCTGCCACAACACCCCACCCAAACCCCACCCATCACATCGCCACTTATCAATCCACCCTCAGCACACACCCAACCACTCACTATCACAAGCGCACCCCGGTCACCCCCACTACCTCACCCTCACCACACCCCCTACCAAGCCAAATCCTTACCGCACCACAGTCTGGACCCCACATCCCTACCGCGCACATACACAAATCAGGCACCGCGGCATTAAGTGGTAAAGATACATGGCGTTGCATGGCGTGAGGCGAAAACATGTACCAGTGTCAGACTGGCTAAATTGTTGACTTGGTCCTCCTCCTGCACCTCCTCCTCCTCCTGCGCCTCTTCTGCCAACTTTGTCTCAGACCGTGCCTGCAGGAGGCATGAAGTGGCTGCGTGAACTTAGGTGCAGCCGTGCTCTTTGTCGCACCTCCTCTGCCAGGCCCGCAGTCGCCATCTTCAGAAACGCCTTGAATCGGGACGCGAGTCGCTGCAAAACTTGAGAGCCGTTGGAATGATCACAGACAGCAGGGCTCAGCAGGGTAACTGCTACGAAAAGCGAGCTGCAAAAACATATCATGGAGTTGCACCTTCTGGTTGGTGGCGATGGTCCTGTGCAAAGATTCAACCAGCCGACGCAGCATTCTTGCTCCGTGTCGCTTTTTAAAGTGCGGCGACCGTGTGCTGTCGGACTGGACTGCAGACAAGCGGTGCCACAGAATTCTTACTGTCTGCACGCGTCGCAGGCTTACGACATTCTCGTGTCCCTATACACCTTCTCTGGTCACAAGAGATAGCCGTGAGTTTAAAGCTTCTCGGTTGCCTCATCAGCAGCGGATCCTTCGTGCTCATCTCTTCCAAGAAGTTCTCCAAGGCCTGCATTGGGTCGTTAAACGTGCCGAGCGTGGAGTCTAGTAGAACAAGTAAGCGATCATATGCAAGAGATAATTGCTTAGCCCGAACTGCAGAGGCAGAGTCCACAAAACATAGCAAAGAGAAATAAAGAGAACTGCTCGAGGACGTTACACGGCTCGCTCCTTCATGTCTTGCCGGATCTCTTTGCGCAGGGTTTTCATTTCCTCGCCTGGCATACCCATTTTTAAAGCGGGCACTCGCTACGTAGCTCAATCTTCGGTTGGCTACTACAGTGTTCCACTGCCACAATGCGAGCCGTGACACGAGTACCAGCATTCACTCACTCACCCACTCGCTCACGCACCAGCTCACCAGCTCGGCAGCATTGTAATGCATAGAAATGCACTCCACAAACTAGTAGACATATGCTTATCTTTAATTTCGGGCTTCGGGTTTAGGGCAAAGTTCTTTCGCGACGTCTCATCTAATCAGAATCCCGCCGGACCCTGACCTCAAAGGCCCGCAACGAGGTCAACGGACACAGCTAGTGCAACGAAAGCTACGAGGATGGAACAAAGACAAGCCGTCAAAAGCCATCAAGAACGTTGCGTGCTCACATGCCCAGGCGGCTCTGAGCGAATCGGTCCAGAATGGCTTGCTCTTGAGCAGTACAAGAAGGCTCCTGCATGAAACAGGACTGGCTGCGGCTGCTCGCCATGGGACGTCTCGAGACCCCTGAAAGCACGACACACCCTCGAACTCGCGACCCCCCAAAACGGTCTTTGATCCAATTTCTATCCATTCTGCTGTCAGCGCAGCTCCTCCGCAGACTTCTGCAGGCCTGACCGGGGGCCACGGTGAGGGTAGTGGGTGTGAGCATGTGCAAGGTACGTTCAGTACATTATGCATTCACATTTGTAGATGGATGTTACATCTGTTGCATGATGGTACTCTTGAAGCAGTGAGCAAGATAGCCGCAATGCCTGAGCAGCTTGGGCTGTGGGCTTGGAGATGGGCCGACCCCACCCTACTGAAACTGTCTCACGATGGGAAGGTGACCGACCAGAACACCTTGTGTAAGCAACGTAGTGACTTCCGGCAGCCAAGAAGCGGCAAAGGCTTCAGTGTGACCGGGACAGCCCGACGCTATCCCCAATACTTTGCAAAGGGCCCTACCAACTTCAGACTTCGGTCATTCGCAAAGAGCCCACTAGTGCAAACCAGACACATGTGAACTACTTTACGGCTGAACCGCGTCAAAGGCGCTCCCCAGGATCTACGATGATGCAAGGCGTTTTCATCCAAATCCAGGCCTCCACCCCCAGCAACCCCCTTCTCCGGGCCTTCTGCCTTAGTGGTGTGTGCCTGTGCCCTGTCGGGCACAGTGCCAGGCTCCACCTGCAATGTGCTTCGTGGGGTTGAGGTGTAATTTAGGGCCTTGAAGCTTTCTGGGTGTGTTGTGGTTGAGGGGATTTTGGCAAAGGCTTTGTTGGGACGAGGTCTTGCGTCTGACAACTTTCCGAATGAGGTGGCATGGGCTATCAAAGCGGCTGACGAGATTCCCCTGTTTCAGGAGAACCTCATGAGTGATGCACAGCAAGCAAACCCACTCGATCCGATTGATGCAGACCGCGCCAAACCTGATCCTCTCACGCCGACAGATGATTTTAACTAGTGCGGTCGCCTTGAAGGTGCATCCGGATAAGAATCCGCACAACAAGGAACTGTGCGAAGAACAGTTCAAAAAGCATTGACCCAATGCTTTGAACTGCTCTTCGCACAGTTCCTTGTTGTGCGAATTCTTTTCCGGATGCACCTGCAAGGCACACCAAGGATCGCAAGGGAGCGCTCCAATGCCTGTGCCTTTGACATCTTGATTGTTGGCAAGTTTGCGTCCTGCTTAACAATGGCGACAGCTCAGATGAGACTACAGGGCAGAGCAGCAATGCGGAGCCACAACGCAGCAGCAACTGGAACCGATTCTGTTGTACATTTTGGGTAGATGTTACGCTGAGATGCAAGCACGGTTTCTTGATGCCGAAAACCACTGCAACCCCGAACCCTCAGCAGATCTCAGGGGATATTTCAAGCTCCCTAAACCCTAAACCCTAAACCCTTAACCCTAAACCCCAAACCTGGCTATTTCAAGCACCGTGCCTCGGGTGGCCACGCCGGGTCCGACGTGTCATTGGGCTTCGGTCGCGGGGCGTTCGGCCAGTACTTGGCGATCTCACCTGCAGCTGGGAGTGCTAAGCCTGCTAAGCCGGGCGGCAGAGGGCAGAGGGAAGGTTCGAAAGGCACTGGGCACATTTCGCAAGAGTACTGTGTTGAAAGCCGAGGGCATGTGGAGCGGCTCAGAAGATTGCGGGTTGATGCGTGGATACGGGGGGCAAAGGAAGAATCAGAGTGAGTAAAAGATGACTGAACAAATATGACCACTGACCTCAAACCCTTGTTCATCTGGACATCCCACGCGCCGCGCAATCATACATACGAGCTTTTTTCGGACATCTGGACATCGGAGCGTTCCGGCTGTCCGACAGAGACTGTCAACAATTCTGCAGTCTTCCGATTCGCTGTTGACTTGATCATTCGCGATCGTCCCCATGATCGCTGTACCCTTTTTCCGCGCCAGTCACGTGACGACCACGGGTGTGGATGCACAGTCCTCACCACCTCGTCTGCCGGTCACAGGAGTCGTCTCGCCATCCACGAAAGGGATGAGCGTCCGCAAAGCCGCGGCGCTGCTCAGAAAAGACTTGAAGCACTGCTGTGAGCCCAGCACCTCAGGGTCTTCGAGAGTCAAGTCCCTTAAGGGAAGCCTAATCTTGAACCCCAAGATGAACCCGACAGCCCTTAAAATGTCAGATTCCTAACATTGAACCCTAAACCCTAGTAGCCAGATTCAGCTTTTTCCGGGTCTCTCCTAGCAAGCAGAGAGCCGGGTCGGGTTAGAGTTTATACTCTAAGCCGACGAGAAAGATTCGACAACAAAAAATGTCTTGAGAGAGGAGCTGGAGACGATATGAGAAGTGCCCAGAAATCAAAACAGACCTCGACCATAACAATTATAAATATTGTGCATGACAGCTCAAACAGTATCGGGCCCCGCCCGCGCAAGACCTACCTGCAGCACCTGGACCATCTCAACGATGGACTCGATCAGTATCCTCGTTCTACCCAGCTGGTTGCACAGCTGTAGGCAAAGTTCCCGGCTCTGTTCTGCAGAAGCGCTGAGCGCATGAGGTGCTCCGTGCCAGAGCCAGCCAGAGAGAATGAACAGGGACAGTTCTGCTGCCTGTGTCCGCTGCGGCGAGCGGGCGCCCAAACGCAGGCACAGTAGCTCGTGGTGGCAGAGAAGCACCACACGCTGCAGCACCGTATCCACTGTATCCACTTCTGCACCCTGGACGGCCCCGCGCAGCTGCAACACAAAGTCTGGGCTGGGCGCCGTCGCCAGGCAGCGCTGCAGCAGCTCCAGGCCGGCCACCCGGCACTCTTGGCGTTCCAGAGTGTCCTCGCACGCCTCAGGCTCCTCCACATCTTCCGCTTCAGCCTGCATAGCCTGCAGCTTCGGCTTCGCCACGGAGGGAATCACCAAGACATTGGCCACTGCCAGGAGAATGTTCTCGTCGGTCTCTGCCTGATGGGCAAGAGTGAACAGATCCGGGCTTGCCATCAAGGCCTCCAGCAACCGCAAGGTGGGCAAATGAAGGCTGTCGGGCGCTGGATCTTCACAGATCAGGGCAAAGAGCGAGGGCTTCTCAAGCACCGGTGACAGTGCGGCCATCAAGGAGCCGGGCAGCTTCGTAGAAGTCTCCGACAGCGCCGCAAGAACTTCACGTGCGCAAGCCTCGCGCTGCAAGGCCAAAGCCTCCAAGGCCTCCTCATCCTCGCAGCTTGCTGGGTCGAGAACAGCTGAATGCAGGACAGCAGCCAGGGCGCAAAAGATTGAGGTCGTTGCCTGTCCCTTGACGACCATCTCTGCAATTTCGGACACGTGTAGCGGAAATAATCCAAACCAATGCTTCAAGAAAGTCGCTCCAGCACTCAGCAGGATCCAGTGGCCATGCTTCAGCCCTTCCTGTAGCAGCTCAGTTGCAGCACTCGATGCCTCCCGCACTGCATGGGGGAAGCTGGCAACCGCAGCCTGTAACGCGAGCCGCTGCTTCAGATTGTCCGCATTCCATCGCTCGGCAAGGCCAATCAGAATGGCGACATGGTGCCGCGTCATGTCTTCATTTACAGGTTCGTCACAGCTGCGATGCTCTTGCACGGGACGATTGACCAGATTGGACGGTTTTGACGGCGGCACTGATGGAAGTTGTTGCGGCGCTGGCTCGGCGGGCTTGGGTGCCGGCTTGGGCTCGGGCTTGGGTGGTTGGTTTGTAGGAACCGGTTTCTCTACAGCAGGATGTGCCTTGAGCTCCTCCATCTCCTGCTGCATCTTCTGCACAGTTAATCTCAGGCGCTTTCGCTCATCTTCAGAAGAGATGAGGTCTTGCCGGGCATATTGCAATTCGCTCTGGATACGTTCCAGTTCTTGGCGCTGCGACTGCTTGGAGGGGCCACAGTCCTTTGCAACCAGCTCATTCTCCAAGCGCGTGTTCTCGCGCTCGAAGGCTTGCAAGCGACTGCGCAAAACAGTGATCTCGGCCATTTTCGTGGCGAGCTCATCATTCAAGCTGGCTGCAGCTGCTGTATTTGCAGGACCTGGGAAAGGGGCTGCTGCCCGCTGAGGAGGCCACTGAGGAATGCCTGAAGAAGGATTCATGGCGGCTGAGGTTGTCATCATCATCATCTTTCCCGAGATGCTTCCCAACTGCTACTTATTTTCTTATCTGCTTGAACTCACCCTCGCATGGTAGCCAGTGGTGCTTGGTGGGAGCTGTTGCCTTCCACTCTCTTTCTTACCTTGGCTATCCTTGGAGCTACTGCTGGCTCCAGCAAAGTCGGCGCTGCGCAGGAATGGAGGGGCCCAGCACAAGGCAACAGCGTGCAGGGGGCAATTGACTGTCTTTCAGCACGGTGCTATCAACCGGCATGGCAGCAAGAGTGCAACAAGACAACGAGCAGCATCAAGCAGCTTAGTTCGGGACCAGGCTCTGCAACCACCCTGAAAATAGCAGAACTATGGGGATCGAAGCTTCGTTCTTTCGACCCGCTCTCAAACTTCCAAGACTGCTTTTGTTGACACAGCTGCTGGCTGATGGTGCCGCAACTTCACGTGTTTGGTAGCATGTCCCACCCCAGGGTGTGCTTGGCAAGGTGTGGGAGGATGGCGGGTCGCCGTGTAGTCTGCAAGCAGGGGATTTTACCGGCTGTGCAGCACTTCTTCGGAACAGTCAAGCTGGAGACTGGCCATCTGTGTATCGACACCGCAAGCAACCGTCAGAAATAACATGATCTGCTGCCTGCTCCTGGTCCCTCTCGCAGCCGCTGCGCGTTGCTCGCGAAGCCAGAATCCCTCAGGGCCCTGGGCATCGGAAGCATTCGAAAGTGTAGCTTCTGAAGAATGTCCCTTCATGGCGGGGGGCTAAACAGTTATCGTGCAGTAGGTGTTAAGACTGTGCACAAGCGACACTCATTCTGGACGAAAGCAACCTGGCCTGCATCGCCAGGGCCGAAGCGATTGTTGGGGGGCGGGTGGGGTTCGTTGAAGGAGTTAGGTATCTTTGTTGTTCCCACAAGGCTGGTTTTTGATGCTTGGGGGTGTAAGGATGTTTGGTTAAACGGTGCTGCTGTAGGGTTGCGGTGGTGTTGCGGTGATGAGCTGGCTGATGCCTTCAGGACCCGCAATGGCCTGCTACAGTCTTGGCTTCAGGGTGTAAAGTCGTACTGTATGCAGCCTGCGACTTCGTCATTTCTTTTTGTGATGGACTACATGCGCTTCAGCTTCAGCGTCTGCTCCTGCTGCCTTACAAACCCAAGCCGAGCCGGCTGCGAGCCGCTGCAAATATTCTGCCAACTGCTCAAACGCCATTCACTCTGATGCGGGACAGCTGAACCAGGAAACCCAGGTTTTGGGTCGCAGCGCTTCTCATGCACGAATTTCTCATGCACGAGTCTTTGCGAAGGGTGAGACGTTGAAATATCTGGATGCAGCCGTCGGCCACGCACCCGCAGCTCCCGTAAGTCTTACGAAGCCTTTGGGATGGGCTCAGAAGCTTCAGACTTCAGAGGCTCGGACGTGTTCTCGGCCTTCTTGGCACGCTCTTCATGCTTCTTGGTGTTCTCGTAGGACTGCAGGCCAAGTGCAAGTATTGCGCTATTTCGGCTACCGTGCCAAAGCACGCCTTGATGCACACGTACACGCCGAAGCTGACCAGAAACCTCAGCTTTATGTCTGCTACAAGAGCATGCCGCCCGAACCCTGCTCAGAAAGAGGAGCCATCAGCTCGAAAAGACTGAACAACCACGGAGAAGGAATCCAATCCCAGGAATGCATCGCATGCGATAGCGCTTAGCGAATGCAAGCACTACCCGAGATGAAGGTGCCCTCAGTTTGCATGTAACATGGAGCACGATGCAGAAGTCACAATACAACAGCCCCCCATGGAACAAGCACAAGAAGCACATGCATATGCCAAGAAAGACTGCCTCTTTGCAGCACATCGATCTTCCCAAAACCCCGCCCACCCCTTAAGTGAAGAACATTAAAGTTCATCCACCCAAATTGATGTAAATTTATGGATTACTCTTTCGAGTTTCTGGGCCTACTACATACGCGGGGTATGTAGTTTCACGACCATCGTCAGCACGTTGAGCATCGTCCCAGGGCTCCGGCGCTGCGACGCCAATGTAGAGCTCGCTTCGCCTCTCGTTCTTGCAGCTCCGCTGTACATGAGTAGTCGTAGAGTCGTAGTGCGTCTGGACTGCAAAAGGAACTGACACTGCAGCCTTGGAACAAATGACAAAGAAACTGTGACCTTTCCCTGTCCATGATGCTGAACGCTGAACCGCCAAACCAGCCCTTCGCTGCGAGAAGCTGCGCTCCTGCCTTCTGGGTGGGAACATGTTGCCGAGAATGGAGAAGCCCACTATGATTACGACCAGGAGACTCGGTCTCTTGAAGAGCTGAAGCTGAAGGTGAAGAAGACACATTCATGACACATTCTCTACCTGCTACCTGCACAGACCTGATAAGCTCCAGGCACATCAGACAGAGCTATCGTGTCCTGGGCCGAGGTTGAAGTTGATTGCGCTCAGTAGGCCAGAGGAAGCAGACTAGTTCCCAACTTCACATATCGACTCTGCTTTTGTGAGCGGCCCTGAGTTCATAAAATGGCATGTGGATGATATTCCAAACCTACAAGCAATCTCGCAGCGAAATAGCAAAACACCTAATCCGCCGAGCTTCATAGAATTCCTGTCGCGCTTCCGTAGCCGCCTTCGCCCTGACAAAAGGTCGGCGGGTTTCCCTAAACAGGGTCATACCGTTTGTGTGGGTTCCTATATGATAATTAAGGACTCTAGAGCATTTGGGCGATTTCGGTATATGCTGGGCAGTACTCCTGTCTTGGGAAATGCCCACTCTGAAGTGTGGAGCTCCCTGCATCCAGGCTGTTGGAACGTGAAGAGTCAAGGTTGCTGCCACTAAGCTGCTACTTATGGACGAGTCTTTCGCCGCCGGCCTGGCTTTCATTTCCGGGCTGACCAGGAAAGACCTCCAGGTCATACATGCAGCATTGAGGTGTGGATGGGGCCGACGTATCACATCTCAGCTGGATGGCGCAGGCACGGCACTGCAAAGCGCCTCAGGGATTTCTTCCTCTGCGTCGGTCCAGCCATGATGCTGGGCTTCTCTTGCACTAAGCAGGCGGAAGAGACGCGTCTGGTGTCCGGAAGACCAGCAAGTGTGAAACAGCATTGGATATGAGATAGTCACTGGTTCTAGACGTACCGGTGAAGTGAGAGATCCTCGGTTACTCTCAACATGTAGCTTCACGACAAATAACGGGCTCGCAACTGATTGGATGCGGATTTATCCCATCCAACTCGATCTTGAGATAGGAGCGGGCGGTGTCTCGTGCAGACCGACGTCTGAGACAGCCAGATGAGTTAACGACTACCAGATTGGACTCTTACTTCAAAAACGGTTGCCCATGGAAACTGGTGCTATACTCTTGTCCTGTTGTGTCATGGCTATATCGGCTATATCTGATACCTTACATGAAAGAACTGCAACTCATTGTACGTAGGCCATTTTTCAGTACCAGCCGATGCATCTGAGTTCAATTCTGCAGGTGAGACTGCTGGACAAGATCCTCAAGATCCTCAGCCATGCTTGTAGATGAGGAAGCCTGCCTGGCCAAGTTCTGTCTGAGTAAACCGAACTTTTCTAATTAAATGTTGGCGACAGCTGATCTGATTTTTGCCCAAATACACTTCTTCCAGGTGAACCGCATGAAGCGACTGCATTTGAGCTGCATCTTGGCCTGCCCAATGTGGAAGTACACCAGTTTGTGCGCCTGAGCATCGGTGGCATGCGCACGCACACAAGGCTAGGCCGAGCCTGCACCGCACAGCCGCCACTCTCACATGTCTGCCCAACGCAGCGATCGCCGACAGGGCATGAACGCGCTTCCCAAACTCCATGAGCCTGGCCTCGTAGGTGACCCACGCGCCAAAGTGCTTGCCGACGAAGACATGCCAGGCACCCTGAAAGGCCCTGGCATCATGGGGAACTAGTAGTAGTAGTAGTAGTAGTAGTAGTAGTAGTAGTAGCAGCAGCAGCAGTAGTAGTAGTAGTAGTAGTAGTAGTAGAAGTAGAAGTAGAAGTAGAAGTAGAAGTAGTAGTAGTAGTAGTAGTAGTAGTAGTAGTAGTAGTAGTAGTAGTAGTAGTAGTAGTAGTAGTAGTAGTACTTGCTACTTAGATATCAAGTGCTGAATAGGTTGGCGGGCTAATCAAATTTCTACATCTTCTACGATTTAAACTGCCGCGAGTATTGGACGAGAATAGAGGAAGGCCAATTGCGATTTCGAGTTGTGCTTTTTTGAATTGCCGGGATGCGCCAAATAACTGGAATCAAGGGCCCATCTGCGGTTCTGGATCTACGTTGACTAAAAAACATGGCTTGCAACATCTCGTCTATTTCGCAAGGTCGGTTCTACTATGTCATACTCTTGCGAGCTGTGCTGCCACATGATGTTTACAACCTCCGACCATCGAAGCGCTGTCCAATCCGAAGATTGGTCTACTGCATGTTGCTTTGCAGATTCAACAGCACAGCATTTTTTGCAGTCTGACCTTCAAAGTGCTGTACTGTCCAGACAAACCTTCAGAATCGCTGTAATGTCCGAAAGCATCACAATCTTGAGAGAGCTCCGTGCACGAACTGTCCTGGAGGTTCCCGAAGACTTTGCTTTGAGGTTTCTGGTGAGTACAGCATTTCTGCTTATTCTTCCATTTTTTGGACAGCGCAGCATTTTTGCTTTGATTCTTACAGAGTGGTCTTATTCGGACAGTACAGCATACTTCTTGAAGCATAAGCTGATGCTCCCGATGATTTTGTCACCTTCTGAAAAAACTCGTGGCCAACAAAAGCAAAACAAAATACGGCTTGCACACGATGGCACTGCAGCAGTTCGCCGACACCCAAGTTTCCCTTCCTTTGTTGCTGTCGGCCTGGCCAACTTGTGGGGCTCATGCTTTGCCAAAAGTCGGTTTTCGTGTTTTTTGTTCCAGGCCAACTTTCTGAGTTCCGGCCTCCGGCCTCCGAGACCACAGTTTGGTCCAACTCTGTAGGGGAACTCCTGAGGCTGAAGCTCGAAGAGAGCTCTCTTAGAGGCCCTTAAGCAAAACAACACATTGACAACTAGCAAAGAACAAAACAATTCAGTAAACAATACATAAGCATATCCAACATATTAAAAAAAACATGAACAATATTGGTGAATCTTATCTGTTTTCTCGTCTCTTACGCTTCGTCTCTTACGCTCTCCATGTGCGCGCTGCGGGACACCCGACGGGTCCCAACATCTAAAGGGCTGAAGATATTCTCAGGCACTTCAGCCGGGGGGAAAAAACAAAGGCCCCTGGGAAGACGGAGCTGGCCAAGCCGTGATGCAGGTTAGTGCAGCAAACTCAGACTGCTGCACAGCTGCTTAGACACGGCCAGCTGTACCGGGGCTATGCCTCAGCCATCACAGCCATCTCACGGAAGCTGTGCGTAGGACCTGGGTCGGCTGGCTCGGCGGTAAATGGACAGACACCCAAAAGGCATCAGCACTGCTGCGCCAGCCAATCCTGTAAGGCTCAGGGGACCCATTTTGGAGATTCCAATGGTCTCAAAGAGCTTCGTGATTCGCTTTGGTTGCATCTCATGCTCATCCTCGGCGAGGGCGCATGTCTGCTGCGTTTTCTTGAGGGCTTGCTGGAGGGAGATGCCCGCGCTGACCTTGCCCTTGTTGAGGTGTGCCCGAGCCTCCTTGAGATCTGCAAGCTGATGGCATGGAGGACTGTGCACGAGACACTCAAAGTCGGCAGGTCCTGAGACGGTGCTCTTCTTCGCCTCATCAAACCCATAATCCACTTCGCCGGCTCGCATCTCGCATCGGCCCTCGCTCAAGCGAAACTCCACTGCGGCACATCCCGCCTTTGCCTTACATTTCTCCATGCACTCATGGAGGCCTTGCAGGCCATCATGAACGGTCTCAGGATCACTGATCAGGTCCGTCCGGGATTCCCGACAAACTGAATGAGGCCCCAAGCTCACCCAAGTTGCTTCGGGCCAAACCTTGTGGCAACCCTTCTTCCAAAGCTCAAAGCCTTCATCACAGGCCTCGCAGACGTTGGAATCCTCGTCAGGGCACTCCTTGCCCTTTGTCCCCAGGCCGTTCTTGCAGCCACACTGCTTGGCCTTGCAATTTGGAGTGCTCCAGTGTCCATCAATGCAGACCAGAGGCTCGCTCAAGGCGTGCCCTTCGGCACACTTGACTGGGCAGATGCTCTCGTGCTTCGTGGCGCAGCCTGACAAGTCCCCCTCGATCTTTGCAATTGGAGCTGGAGGGCCCTTGCAAGCCACGCCCGGAAGGGAGAGGGGGATCCGGATAGGTCTTCGTCCGATCTGGCAAGCGTAGCCACCATAGTTGCAAGGGGCGAAGTTGTCGTCCGTGCCTTTGGTGTTGATGATGTAGAGCCCGGTCTTCAGCCCTGTGATCTTGGCCCTCGCATACTTAACAGACCTTCTGTAGGACCCATGCGCCGGCTGTGCCTTGCAATCGTCATCCAAGACAGAAGCTTCCAGACCAGTGGAGTCCAGTTGGTAGCATGTACCACATCGTCTTTCTCACTGCCGATGCAGGCATCTTTGATGTCTGCCGCAGGGCACTTGCCGCCGTACCGCGCCTGCCCCCCATTACAGATCTGTGTCAGGTCAAAGGCATGCTCCATCTCGTCCGGGTCGGTGATAGTGATCTGTCCTCTTGCGCTTCGCACCCAGTGGTAGGTGCCCAGGAAGATCTCCATCTCTCCAAGTCTCGAAGGTGACGTCGACGTGCAGACCACGGTGGTGTGGCCAGAAGCAGAGGAAAACATCAGCGCCAAGATGGAGAAGCGCATGGCTGTGGTGGGAGACTGGGCAGGATGCTAGAATTTATGAAAGCAAAGTGCCCGTGGCTGAGGTCTCGACGCAGCGATTCAGCTCCGTGAATTAGTCCCTGAGTTCGGCATCTCAAGTCCACGAATTCGCTAGCCCAGCAGTGTGGTGAACCGGGAGAATTTCCCACCCACCCAGAGATTCCCACAACATTAACCATCTATAAAGTTCATTTACTTCATAAGCCCTCGGCCCTGTCCTAAACGCCCTGCACCACTTGCCTCAAACGGCTTTTCCAATCAGATAAGTTTAGACGGAAATGAGGCGGGGTTGAGGTCGGACCAATACGTAAACTAAATAACATCCCACCAGCAAACTGGTACTCGTTTTGCGTCGAAGCAACGGGGGGGGAGGGGGTCCGGTATGGTCCGGTTATGGCTCACTGAATCCTGAACCCTGAACCCCAAACCCTGACCCCTCAACCCTTTAAGCCCAAGACACCCGAAGCTTGGCAGGCCAGGTACATGGAGCTTGCAATCATGCCGGGGGAGCTTGTCGAACTCTTTCTTGATGAACTGAGCTACCTCTACATCTGCTGGTCTTGTTTCTCTCACAAAAACGGCAGCAAGAGGTGCGGTCACCGGATGCGCTAAATCTGCCGGCCCATCCAGAAAAATGAACTTTATCATACCCTACATGTGGTCGACAGCGACAATGCGAAACGCCTGTACGATGGCACAGAGGTTAGGGTAGCGATCGTGATGCACCTCGCAGAAAGAACGTCTCTCGTTCTTGAACAGCGAGATCACGCCTCCATCCCAGCGAGGCATGCTTCTATAGACTACAGCTCGCTAGAAACATGGGCATTGAAGGCATGCTCTCAAGAGTCGGAGTCCACAAGCCGTTCACACGTCTTTTGGCCCACGGAAATCAAAGACGCTGATCAAAAATCTGCTGTGGAATCTGATGTATAAGCCAAACTAGCCCAACCGAACACGGAGGAGGAGGAACTTGGGGTGGTCATGAAAGCTGCGAGCAAGCGACCCTTCTTCGCCACGTCTATGGCAAAGTCCACCTGTCAGACTGGCGCGGCACGCGGGTGTCCTGAACTTGGTGCCTCGTCATACCTGGATGCTTCTATCTGCCCAAAGTCTTGCGGGATCGTGGTCGGTCACGTGGCTATCCCTTAATAGCTTTGCCCGGCCTCTGCTTTGCTCATGTCCACTATGTGCATCTCTGGCTTTGGGAGCTCCGGCGCATCCTCCACAAGATGCGTGCCAATGGCAGAGACAGCGGCGCAAGCCCGCCTCTTAGCGACAGCCATGACTCAGCGCAAAGTATCTGCAGGCACTCCGAAACTCGTGCTCCAAAAACCCTAAACCCCAAACCCTAAACCCTAAACCCCAAACCCCAAACCCTAAACCCTGCTGCCCTCAACTCTCCTTGGCATTCTGGCCCTGAGCACCGGCCTGCAGGAGTCACTCGCCATGTCTTTGTGCAGGTTCATATGTAGTTTGTAGTGTTGCTGGAATATATGACCTTTGTTTACATCTGTATACAAAAAATGTCTATATATATATATACATATGTAACCTACATGTATAATGTTTATAATGTTTATTATCTTATGTACAACGATCCTTTGTGGTTGTGGAGGTCTAGACTCTAGACTCTAGACTCTAGACTCCAGACTCTACGAGTAGACTCCAGACCCAGCCAGCTAATTCCCTTCTTACGGTCACTGTGCCGCAAGAACCGGTACGAGGCCCAGCACATGTCATCCTGGGGCGTTTCGTTTCGACCTAATGATGTCTGCCCGGCTGATGGTATGGGATGCTGACATACATTGCTACGTATCACCAAATCTGAACATTTTATGTGCGATTTCATATGAGGTCTGCGACAGATGAAGAACCCAGGCTCGCGGTCCAAGCTGTTCCCATCACGCTGCGAGTCTCCAGCAACATCAAGTTCTGTGCGGCCCTGTTGGCGCGCCGTTGCTACTGTGCACCCCTTGTAAGCATGCCTTTCCACATCAAATGCTCAGCTTGTAAATTTTTGTGGCAGGATATACAACTAATCTCTGTCAACCATCTCTAGCAGGTGTCTGGAGCATTTGAAGATGAGGACGAGCTGTGCCTGTACACTAAGAGACTCTGTCAAGGCTAGGGCGAAAGCCCAAGCAGCGCTCTGGGACTCCGGCCATGCTTTGCTTTAAGCGATCTGTACAAAAGCCGGGTTAGGGGTCCTCAATTGCAAGTATAAGTATAATTTGCTGCAAACATTTGGTTCCGGTGCTGTTTTCCTTGGCAGCTTGATCGGCTCAGGGGTAGAGCACCATGCCACACCTGTACGGACGCAGGGAAAGGAGTGGGCGAGAGTCGAACTCAGGATCTGTCCAGTTGACCTCCCTCCAGCCACGCAGTGCACCATGGTAGGACGGCACCTGATTCGCCTCATCCCACCGCCCAACAGCCCACATCATGTCTGACAGGTCGGAGAGGATAGACGCATTAATGCCATGCTTTGCGAACAAATAGCCACTCACCAACGGTCTCCGGAATTCTAAAGCGATGCGTCCACCTCGCCTCTCGACTGAGGCATTCCAAATCTCCAAGGACTCATCGGGACCCGGAGCTCCCGAGTACGCACTGGCATAGTACCGCTCCACACCTGCTGAGTCTGCTGAGCTTGCTGAGTGCCCCAGAACAATGTCTGCGCCACGCATTCCGAAGCGCTGTTCCCGACCCGTCCCTGCCCTTCTTGCTTCTCCGCTGGATGAGCCACCCAGCGGCCGGAACCCAACTGACACATAGTCTGCTGCCTCTGCGAGTGCAGAGATCTGTACATGAAGCAGCGACGCCTTCTCATCCAAATCCCACTCTAAGACTAGACCGACTTTCGCATCCAAGTTGTAGCAGTGCTCAAAGGTACTCCTTGCTACGGTGCTGCTCTCTGCCGGTGGTCGATAGTACAAGGCAAAGGGGCAGCTGGCCAGTGGAGTTTGATGCTCATCACGGTGTGTGTAGTCGCAATCGAAGTGGCCGCCCGGTCCGGGGAAATGAAGATCAACGGTTGCCACATAGGGAACTCTCTTCAAGGTGGCCCACACGTGCTTCGAGTGTTGCCGGAGTGGCGATCCGGCCATCGACACCTGGTAGTCCAGAGTCGTGCCGGACTCGTCCACACGAAGGGTCCAGTTGAAGCAGCCGCAGCCCTCTTCTGGGCCAGCGGTGTAGCAGCCAAGGGTTTTGAAAGGGAAAGGGTGCTCGGAGTCAATGTAGCCGGGCCACTTCCTGCAGCTCAAGGTTGCATGTGTTGCCCAGTCAGCTCTTCAAGCCGGCACACCAAGAAGACATGTGCAAACCCTGTCCTCAGGCAGAAGGTCACCTCTCGAGGCCCCACAGCGTGCGCCTGCAGTCAACTGGCACGAGCATCAGGGCTGGACACCCCAGAGCCTGCAGTAGACGCCCTCACCCTTGCGGCCAACACAAGCTGAACCCAGACATTCGGAAGACCAACGAGAGGACTAGCCTTTTAGCAAAGATATGCCTGCATCATCGCCACCCGCAAGCGCTTGGGGTCCCGGGGCCCTGGGCAATGCAGCCTCGGCTTCGGAAAACCGACTCAGGCCACTTCGTATGTGTTTTTACCCCGGCTTCTACAGTATAAGGTGCTGGCTCTGAGGGGGACGAAAGAAGGGATGGCTACATGCTTCGGCATGCGTGTTGTTCTTCTCTTGGCAAGACGAACAACTCCTCTACAACTCTACAACCTTCAACCGAACATCGAGAACATTCGAGAACCCTAAACAGCCTCGGACTATTGGCAAATGAACTCAGTTCAGTTACTGAAAGTCGGAAGTTGTTCTGATACACGTGCCCGATTGAGGCACCTGCCTCATTAAATGCACCACAGAAATCAATCAGCTAATCCTCATCCCCAACAACTCTAGGTAAGCCTCATGAGCACCGCAAACTGTCTTCAAACGCCCCTTTGAGCAAGCTGTCATGAAAATGAGCAGAAACAGCGCTGCCGAAAAACTGCTTGCCCAGCGAGGGGCAGGCGTCCGCGATCTTCGCCAGAGACTCTCAGGTAGGATCGCTGCCAGCTCCAATACTGCCTCGCTCAGGGTGCTTAGGGTTCCAAGCTGTCCTAACCACAAAACTGCCGAAAGGGATTGGGGTGACCGGCGAGTCGGAAAAACGAGTCGAAATCGGGATGGACTAAATCAGAGAACGAAAAAGGTCGAGTCAGGGAACGGGGTGGCGTGAGTCAGAAACCGGCGAGGTGGGTCACCTGAACCCTGAACACACCCCACACCCACACCTCTTGGGGGTCCACTTCGTTTTCGACTCAGGGCTTGCCAGTTTGCAACTCATGTGGTGTGACTCAGCCGCACTTTTCCCGACTCCACCCTCACTCGGACTGTCGGCGTAGTTTCTGCACCCAAGTCAGAACCCTACTAAGGCAACGCTACAAAACTGAAACTGGAAACGCCTGATAAAGTGAGGGTCCGCAAGCGTTTCAAAAGCAAGAAAACAGGCTCTCTTGCTCTCAGTAGGAACCTCAAAGAGACCCCAGCAAGAATCCCACACCCAAATCTCGAACACCTCCGAGCAGGCGCCTGAACTCCGGAGAAGCGTCGAAAGGTAGGTTCGCTTGAAACCTAGAGCTGCTTCTCAAGCACTGGCTTTCAAAAGCGGCTCAGGCTTAGGCTTCCATATGCAGGCCAGCCCAATGCACATGGACAAAAAGAAATGCAAAGAGTCATCATCACCACCACCATCACCATCACCACCATCATCATCATCATCATACGATCCTTGGCAATCCTGCACTGCAAGCTTCGTGCATGCTGGTCGGACAGCAGGATTTAGTCCCAGTTCACTGCAGCCACGGCGCAAGTAGTCTCCCTGCGGTATCCGTGTGATCGAGAAGGTGAAGTTCTCCGACCAAGGCCCCACCACGCTTGCGTAGGGCACGCCCTGCCACGTGCCTGGACTCACAGCGACATCTGTGGGGCTTCCCAAGATGCCCGGAAACGCTCTGAAACAGATTGCTAGGAAGCACATCTGACATTGGAGACCATCCTGCCTTCAAAACCTGGTGGCAAGGCAAATGGCTCGAGGTTGGCCATCGCCAGCGGCAGCATGAAGAGGAACCAACACCCCATAGCCACCAAGCAAAGTCAATAAAAGCGAGCGCAGGACAGCTGGAGCCAAGCTTGGCGGCATTGGCATGCATGGAGCATGAGGTTGAGGCTGTCCGCTACTAGGTGAACATGGCAAGCGTTCGAGTGTCGTACAGAAACCCAAGAGGGCTTTGCGTTGTTGAGTACTGTACCTCTTGCACCTTTTGTTGGTCTTATTTAAAGAGAGTAAGAAAGTGGAAGGGATGTCAGTGTCGGGCTGCTAAGCTCCTTCACAGAGTCACTGTGCCACAGTAACGCTCTTGCTGCACCCCACATATTGCCTGACTAGAACCGTGTGATATCCCAGACCTGCGGCATCAACCTTTCACAGAAAGCATGCACCTGCGATTGCTCTGCCATGGTGGGACTGGCTCGCTGCACGGTGCAAAGTTTGTAAGTCCAATTCAACTTTGGTAGCTTGAAGGGTTGAAACCCAGCTTAACAACTGGCTATGCTGCAGTTGCTAAAGTTTGGGTGATGAGCTTGGTGAACTATTGGCTTGTCAAGCGACTGTCAGTGAAATTTCCTGGCATTCTGGGGAAGGCAAACTTGGGCTTGGTCAGCTGAAGGTACATCCCCACGTGGACGCCGCTTTGAGCCGGGGGGCTGCCAATATGAGTGGTACATAGTATGCAGAAGCGTCTCGATTGGCCCGCAGCTTCTCGTCTGTATATTCTCTCGTTATACTTCAATATATTGCATAGTTGGGAAAGAAATCGCTCACAGTTGGTACCATCTCCAGATGGTTCATGATGAGCTCGAAAGAGCTGCAGTCACAGCTCTCGACGAGTTTTTCGCTCACCGGTAGAAGCTCATCGCAACCCAGCATGCGGAAGATCGATGGCAAAGACTTCACCTCAAGAACGCGGCGACAGAGTTTCTACGGGATCAAATGCAGAATCTGTGACATGTAAAAATGACGGTCGCCCAGGATGGTCCTCAACCAAGCAGATGTAGCAAAGATGCACGCAGGCTCAGAGCAACAAGTGCGTGCATGAATCTTGATTGAGGTGCAGAGCACGAACGAAAGCTAACCTGCAATGTTTCATCGTACATATGAAGCCGCACCAAAGCCTCTACTTTGCGTGTTCCGCTTGGAAGTTCACCAAATCCCAACCTCGCTTTTGGCTGCAAAACCTTCGCTCAAACTCGAGGGCTGGAAGTCGCTGCCAAGGATACTCATTAGGACAACTGCCACCAGAGAAGTTTATCTCTGGATTTGGTCAGTCCACCTTTTGCGTGAGGCTCTGATTTGGGGTCGGCCGCGGCGTGACCCTTGCTGGTCTTGAAGTACGCGGCATGACTTGCACTGGAAATGGGCTATTTTGGGCTATGCATGGTTACACATCCTTGCAAGAAAGTTGGAGGATCGCTGCTTTGGCCTGTCCCTGGCCACAGTTCGAATTGCAGATGCAGGAGGCTCGCCACCGGTAATTCAGTCACAGCCTTCCACGATACGCAGATCTATACAACAAGGGCATAACTTTGTGCCCAGGAACGATCTCACCAGCTGATGCCTTCGGTCACTAGGCCCACTAGGCCATCTTTGCCTGTTTCGGTACTTCGGCACCATAATCACCCAAACCTTTGAAGCCATGGTTTGGAGGGAACTTTGCCAGCAGGTGCACCATGAAGCTGGCTGGGCCCTCACCTTCAGGTGGCGAGCCACATGTGCCACAAGCACCGGAGCATCCGGGGATGCAGCACCAGCAGCAAGGAGGCGGGCAGAAGGGGAAACCTCCGTTGCAACACTGACAGCAACAGACCTTGGCAGGGCCCGGGAGTGAAGTCCAAAGCATATACCCCCCTTTGCCGTGGCCAATCTTCACATTCATCGGTTGTGGCAGGGGTGGTGGGGCTTCTTTGTCCTGAAAGACTTGCACTGGCTTCCCTTGAATGACAGCAAGGGCCCCTTGGGCGCAGTGTTTGCTGGCTGCTGTCAACCGACTGGAGACCGGATGTCCAAACAACTTTTTGGTGGTAATCCCCACACCGAAGACCTCTGGGTGGCTGGTGGATTGGAGGCTGTCGTTGGTGATCAAAGCACCTCTGTCATCTAGGATCTTCTGGGAGGAGACCAGGCGTTCGGTGTTGGGGCCTATAGGAAAGCAAGGGATGTAGACATCAAAGTCCAAGGTTTCGCCGCTGTCAAGTTGAAGGGTGCCAGGGCTGAGGATTGCATCGGAGAACTTGGGATCTGAGGCAGATCCGTGCTTCACCTCTACCTTCATCTTGTCTTTCAAGACATTTGTGACCTTCTCCACCACCTTCGCGTCGGGCTTGGCAGATTTTTCCCCAAAGTCAGTGTCCAGCACCGTACCAGAGCGAGAAAGCAAAATCACCCGGGCAGAGTACCCATTGTGCACCCGGAAGTCTCCACACATTTCCTCAGCATCAGGTTCTCCAAAGATCCCCTCCCAATTCCCGTGCCCATAAGAGCAAAAAAAAGGATCAGAAGTGATCAAAAGAGTACGTTCCAACACTTTGTCTGTTTACTTCCTGTCATCGCAGTGCTCATGTCCCATCTGTACAATACTTTGTTCCACAGCCAAGCTTCCACACCCACCAAGCCAGATCCATTGAAGATCACTGTCTTGGCGTTCTTCCTAGCTCATGGTTGGGATAACCTTAACAATCTCAGCTTTTTATTCCTTTTAGGGTTTAAGTACCCTTGAAAGTGTAAAATGGCACCCAGCTATGACAAAGCTTCAAGGCCGACCCGCAGGCGCGCACCTCCGAGACCCGTTCCGTCAGGGACGTGCCGGGAGATGGTGTGATCAGTGGGCTTTTGCTTCCCGTGGCGAGGACCACCGCCTTGTAGGTAATCACTGCTCCAGCATGCGGACCTTTGTTCATCAGCTTGATCTCCTTCTTGTCGCAGTCGATGGTCTCCACCGAGCTCATGAAGTACTGGACGTTGGCCCACTTCTGCTGCCACTTCTCCGGAACACCAGCGGTCCACTTCTCATGCTCATCTGGGTTGTTCAAGAAAATGGCTGCTGCTAGCGCCCACTCCTGAAAAGTGTAGCCATGGATGAATGCCACCTTGGTATCCTTACTTTTCTTTGCAATCTCCTCTGCTGCATGGAATGCTCCCATGCCGGCACCCACCACCGCGACATCAAACGCGCTGGCCATTCCAAAACGACAATGCGTCTCAGGGTTCCCAACTGAATACCGCTGTTTTGGAACTGGGCCAAAATTGCAGGAAAGCGAACGACATTTGGTGTGCAGCAGCAACAGACATCAGCTGTGCCGTGCAAGAGAAACTCCGCCCTGAGTCAATGGCTCGCGACACATCCTGTCGGCATCATGACAAGGATTGGCCCCGTCATTGGATTTCAGTTGTGGCAAACTCTAGACTCTGCGCACATTTCGGGGTTGCCGGTTGGGTCATGCAATGCCATGCTATGCCACATGTGGCCACAAAATTGATGAAAGATGAGGATCTTTGAAGTTTGGGTCAAATAGCTTCAACTAAATCCGAGGCAACCGAGAGTCTCGCAATGGACTTCAAAGGACCCAAACATTTAGTCGTCTTTTCAGCTGTGTACCAGCTTACCAACCCTGTTTTGGGAGCCGATGGTTGTGAACAGAACAATGGAGCTCCTCACTCCAAATGGACGCCACGTCCAACAAGCGCTGATGGCAGCAAGCCACCGTGCACTTGAGCCAAACACCCACCAATGCTTGAGCAAACACCCGCCAATCGGGCGTACTGGTCACACCTCGCTGGATCTTCTTGCATCCCCATGTTCAGGGACTGACTGGGCATGACCTGTTGTGTTGAATGTCCTTGTGAGTACTCATGATCAGACAACCCTCGCATCTTTTTGGAACGGTCTTCTTGAAATCTCGTCTTTAAAATTAGGTTGTCTATAGGATATGTCATCCCGACGTTGGGGAGCAACTGGGCGAACAGCCACAGCATCGCCCAGGATAAGAGATAGCAAGCTCGCAAAGGCTGCCCGAGTGTCAAAAGCAGGTAGCAAATATCACTGGTAAGGGTCACACTGAGTTAATCCTTTGTTGGCAAAAGTTGAACCTGGCTTGTAGCAAAGAGCAGCCCCTTCACCACCCTCATGGCGTTCTGGAGTTGGAGAGCCTGGTCAGGCGCGACGGTGCCGGGGCGTTCTGCCAATGTCATGTCTCGGACCTGTCCTTCCCCCCACACGTTCATTTCTCCGGTGCTGACCTCTGACCACGCTCCCATCCCAGTCTTTGTCTACTGCGCCTGCAGGTTAATCATAGTTTGTATCTGAACATGCCTTCTTGTCATCCATTGCCTAGCTATGCGCCAGACATGCGGAATGCCTGTACTGTGCTGAAGCTCAGGGACACAGTGTGGCCTTGTGGTGGAAGTAGGCATTGCCTGTTCCTGTTAGAGGTCACGCCCGTACTGATCCACCTGCGCCAAGCCCAGAGCTCTCTGCGCCAAGGGCTAGGAATCCCTGAAGGCCGCTGCTCTAAACCCTTACCCTCAACCCTAAACCCTAAAACCTAAACCCTAAACCCTAAACCCTAAGATTGTGATGATGGCTCTCCCTCACCCAGCACAACCTCGTGCCACACAGCTGCGGCACCTTGAAGGCCTCTTGGAACTGTTCGGCCTGGCAGGGGGACATACTGGTAGGGATCGGGTTGGTTAAAAGAGCTGCAGTGTGTTTGGGGGGGGAGGGACAAGAAATGCGGAGCGCGCGAAAAAAAAAAGAGGGGGGGGGGGGGGGGGGAAGGGGAAGGGGGGAATGCGGAGGTGCACCTCATCCGGTTCCCACTCATCGAAGTTCATCAAGCCCTCGAAGTCGCTGTCACCAAACCTTGAATGCGAATGATTCAGGGTTACGAGGCCGGCGTAGGCCTCACTAGCCTTTAGCAGACTTTAGCTGGGTTTTTGTCTATTTTTCAATGAGCAGGAGCAGCAACGTAAGCCCTGGGCTCATCGTAGGTCGTCGCTGACACCTGTCACGATCAGGAACTGAGAAGGTCTCTCAAAATGTTCAGGCTCACCAGACCTGGTGCCCACTGTCTACCGAATGGGGAGACCCTGCCTTCTTCTTCATGAGCCGAGTGAGGTGCGAGTAATTCTGCGTGATGTGCTCCTCGCTACAACGCAAGCACTCGATTCAACCCACTCTGAACTTCATCGGGTCGTATGTCCTCCGCCCTAATGAGTCTCTAAGGTCGCGAATGTCGGGATGGACGGCGCACTGAACAAGAGCCGTGAGAAGGTGTCAAAGCCATGTGCCTTTCCAGAAATATCGTGAGCAGCCACGGGCTGTCTGCAAGAAGTGGACAGTCCTGCCACTTCATGGGCGGCACATCGGGATGAGGAACGGCCGAGTAGTTGACAGGGTCTATGGCCACGCTGCCATCTGCTGCCCTGGCATCTCCGTTTAAATCCAAGAGTGAAAAAGAGAAAGAGAGAGAGAGAGAGATAGAGAGAGAGAGAGAGCTAGAGAGAGAGAGAGAGCTAGAGAGAGCTAGAGAGCGCTAGAGAGAGCTAGAGAGAGAGCTCTAGAGAGAGCGACAGAAAGAGAGAGAGAGAGAGGAGAGATGGAGAGAGGGAGAGAGACAAAAGGGAGAGGGAGAAAAGAGATAGGGATGGAGGAGGAGAAGCAATTACAGAGAGGGAGGGGGAATGAGGGAGAGGGGAAGAGAGTGGGAGAGAGAGGGGGCCCCAGACCAACGCTAACTAGTCGAAAGCTTCAGTGTCAGGCACGACAAGCTCCGCCCCGGGCACTTGCTCAGCTTCAGGTAAGCACCCTTGTTGTTGCCGGTGTCCAGATAGTTCGGTGCCTCGATGCCGTGTCCCCGCTTGGCGGCTTGAGAATGCGCAGTGTTCAGAAACTCCACCCGCCCTTGAACCCGAAACCCTACACTCCTAAAAACCCTTTTCAACCCTAAATCCTAAACTCCTAAAAGCCACCTGCCCAGCTGACACTCAGGCCACACAGGGCTTGGGGTTGAGGGTTGAGGGACCCTTTTAAACCCTAAACCCTAAACTCCTCAAAACCCTTTTAAACCCTAATCCTAAAAACCCGAATCTCCTAGAGCAACTCGGGCTCACAACTGTCAGGCCCTGAAGGCCGGACGCTGAAGACGCTCAGCAGCTCCTTGTGATCCCACCTGTTTACTTGTATGACAATAACAAAATTGTTTAGGGTTTAGGGTTTAGGGTTTTTTTCTTCATGGTTCTAAGGTTCAGGGCTCTAAGGCTTGAAACGTTGTAGGGCATGAGAATGCATTAGAGTTTCAGACTCAGAGCACAGCGTGACCTGTTGCGCGGCGCGTTTCTTGCTCGACCGGAAGCCCCAAACCCACTGCATGCCAGACGACAACCCTGAGTTGGTGCCTGAATGCTCCGATTCCCAAACCCCTTTTTCTGACAGTCTGCACAGGATCCGCTGCCTGTATCCAGCCGCCTTCACCTGGCGAACGGACGGCAAAGCACAACGTTAACGGTCTGAGGGCCTCGACCTGGTCGCCATGTATGAGCCGTAGCTTAAGAGCAGCCTGAACACGGCGAGAAGATAGTGCCGTGTGAGGCGCAGCGACCTAGAAGATTTGTTTTTCCGTGGCGCCCTGCCCCCCCCCCCCCTCTTCCCCCCAGCCCGCCCCCAAAACCGGGCAACCTGCAGCCAATTATCTTCCATCACTACCTAGGGCCAGAGACAACGATCCTGGATAAACAATGACTGAGCGCAACGCACACCCTGCCGCACGCCCCTCAACTGTTTTTGACATCTTCGCTGACTCTATGGACCATTCCGTACGAGCCTCATGCGATCGGATGATGCACTGCAGATTGTTCTTCTTGCAGAAGCTGGTGGTCACATCTGGACCTCTGACAGGGAGAGTCAGCGTGGCACGTCTTGCGATGCAGAATGCGTTACACCAACAACGAGGCAGCCACTGGAAGGAATCTTGTCTGGACATCTCAAGCAGACAGTGCTGACACCCGCCCAGCGCACCCAAGGTCTGGACCGAACATGTAGACTCCCTTACCTTTTCGGTAGGACGGCCCATACCTTCGCAGGGGAAGTGCAAGAGCCATCAGCATCTTTTGGAGTCAGGGGCCGTAACTTAAGCAGGGCAGTGTTGTTGCAACAAGCATGGGAAGTGTGGGTCGTCATGCTGAGGGCGAGAAGGAAAGCCCACCCCAACCCAGAGCCATCGAAAGTTAGACTTCGGTCTCGTCACATCAGCGACCACCTCCATGCTTCACCTGCGAGCTCCTCCTCTTGTTTGCTGGGTTTTAAGACTGTAACCCTGGTCGCGAGATATAAAGCCAGGCAGTCTTGGCTCCCGGCCCATCGCCGCCACGAGGATCTCCCCAAAGGATGTCGATCAGCTTCCTCATGTCGTTCACCTGCGCGCGCTCGGAGAGGCATTGTTACTATAAGTAAGTTATATGTATATATGAATATATGATACTACATATGTTACATGCTGCTGTATACATAATAAGGGTACAATATTATTCAGCTTGCAAGAGTTGAACATGGGCAGTGCTGTGTACTTCCTGTGTAAACCACTATGCCCTCGCAGCCGTATCTTCACAGCTCAAGGGCTGTCAGTGTGAAACCACACCGGGTGTCTACACGGCGGGAAGACCTCCTTGTCTGGAGTGGTGGGGCCGATGGACTGTGCGTACCTGGCATTCTTGCCTACCCGTTTGGAAACATCCTGACGCTGACAAAGCATGCCCGAAAATGAGGCCAGGCAGGCGCTGCACGGGTTGAATCATGCGTCTATTGTGGTCTGTGAGTATCTGGGATCTGGCTCCACTAGCAGAGGCTAAGCGCCGTCGGTGATTTCGACATGCAAGTCTTCGCGCACGATTCGGGGGTGATCTCCAGGTAGCGGTCCACTGACGCAATCTCCTCCGAATCCACATGTAACGTGATCAAGTCGTGAAGAATCGTGAAGACATTCCCCCTGGAGGGGGGCCTCATGGAAAGAAAGTCAGTGGGCGGCTGCAACTGAGTGCGCAGATCCCGACTCACGATCCTCGAGCGTAGGGAGGACCGTCATTGGGATCGCATCCGTGGGGTCGTGCCTCGACACGCATCTGCAAAATTTACCGGGCTCGGTCTTTAGCGTTGCTTTGCCATACAGTACCCAGCATCACCTCCTCCCATACATGCACGAGTTGCATAGGCACATTTAGAGGATGGAATCTAACTGGCCCAGACTGCCGGTGCCGTTGTGCACCTGGACCCTCAACCGAGCCTTAGCAGCTTAGCAAGCCTGCAGCTACGAGCAACTGAAATGACGTCGTACGCCAAAAGTTCTATCTTGACGTCGTGTCACAACCATTCTTTTCAGCAAGAAGGCATAGCAAAATATGGCATTCGTGGAAGTAAAGGGGGACAGAAATGCACGCACGGTTCAACGTTTCTGGAGTGCTTGGGGCCGAGGCGTCTGTCCTGGCATCCAAATTCTTGGGTCGGGGCCTCAGCCAAAAATTACGGTTGAGGGAAGCTGCAGCAAAACGAAACAAGCATGCGCATGCTTATGCGTCCAGAGTCTTGAGAGGGCCTTCATGGGATCCTAGCCCAGGCGGAACGACCAAGTATCAAGGAGCTGGCCCTCGATGGCTTACTGCAGTTTCATGGTGTTCTTCATGGGCGGTGCCGGTTACCAGTTGCCGTGAACTACCAAAGCTATCGCCTGCTCTCCAGTGCAGCTTGCAGCATTGGGCTGCACAGCTTGAGACCTACGTGAACTCGGCTTGTTCCAACGATGCACGAGCCTGGAAGGCCACCGTGGAGGACCAGAACCTGCATCACTGCACAGCATATGAGCACATTGTGCCGAAGACTTTGAGGACTTGGGGAGCGTTCCAAGCTTGGCAGCTGGGCAATCGGATTGAAGTTAGGCCTTTCCGTCCACCAAGTGGGCGAGTGGAAGGTTCCGGAAAGCCTGCGTCCGCGTCGGGCTGGCAACAACTCCACGAAGTTCTCAGTATTCCTCCAACTCGATACAATAGGGAGCAACGTTGGCACTGCGCGACAATGTCCAGTATCTCCTGCACCTAAGGAGTGTCACAGATTGTCACAGCATCCTGTAACGCCGCACTTCAAACCCAGAAGCTCACACCCCATCCATATGCCTGCCTTCTAGCCTTGATACCTCGAGACTTCAACAGACTTTAGCACTGTGTGCGGCATCATGTGAAATCCTGTGCTCTTGCTGCGAGCCGGGTCAAATCTGGATCCACCTCAGAGAAGAGGTTGAAGAGCTCCATGTCCTCAGAAGCTCTAACCGGAGAAGGATATCAAAACATTGCGCTCTACCTGTATCGTATGCTGTCATTTTGCTCAAGCCAAGGGCTGCCAGTCAGGCAGTTAGGACTTGGCGCCACGCATACTTGGCCCCGCATTCCCCGGCGAAGCCATAAAGGATGTTCGTCTCCTAACTTGGAAGCACCCAAAGGATCCCAAAGGCAAAATGAGGGACTAAGTGGTGCTAAACAGTAACGACCTGGATGGGTCCAGGGATCGTGCTGCTTCTTCTGCGTGCTTTGGCTTGATACGCCATGACTTGCCAAATGACCTGCTTTCTTGATCTTCCCCCGAGTTCGCCCCATGCTGCCGAACCCATGATCCCGCACACACAGAGACAGCGACTGACCCTGCACGATGCACTTGCAGGACTCTGCTCAGACATCGCCCGCAGCTCCAGCATCTCGTGGTTGCCACGGTTCAGGAAGACGGACTGTGGATCCTGGGGTGCGGAGTTTGTTTATCGGTCCAAAGTCTCAAGGGACAAAGCTTCGATGCCTTCAGCTTCAGCGCGAAGATGGACAGGATCACCTGACCAGGCTGCGCGACGTATTTCTTGTAGTATATACTAGTTACTACTACATTATACTATGTTAATTTTGCTAGCATGTGCTTCTAAGACGAATTCTCGGATTGATGTCCTCCCTAACAAAACTCCCCTCCCCCCCCCCCCCCCCCAGCATCAAATGAAAAAGAAACATGTGTTTTGCTACGCGAAAGAACACCCAGTACCACAACAACTGCTGACCATGAGGCCTAAACCCTAAGCACTAAGCCTGAAAATGTGGCAGGCTTGGGCTTGCCAGGCCTCGATGGACCATGAACCTCGGTCCACGAAGTCCCCATTGAAGATGAAAGGCGAGCTCGCGGAGGGCTTGCCCGTCTGAGGCAGGAAGGGTGTGAGATAGGTGTATCGCACTACAGTATCTTTGTACTATACTGTTATGTTAACTTATATTCGAGAATACTACGGTACATTACATTGCATGATTCAGGCTGGGCCCCCTTTCAGCATGGAAACCTTGCTTGAAAGGATCCCCCAGAGCGCGCAATATTTACCATTCTCCCTCCCCCCTCCCCCCCCCCCCGACTTGAGGCCCATCATCAAGCCCGAACTTCAATATGGGCATTTCCCACCATAGAGGTACGAGTACCCCCTGTAGACCCCCGAATGCCCTTGAAGGGACCCCTCTTCTCAAAAGGGTACCCCTACTTTCGGGAACCCCAATGTCCGACAGCCCCCGCCATGCTCAGCAGGTTCATGAAGTCCCAGTATTGGCCGTGGAGATCCCCGACCTTGAGACGTATACTTAGGGCCCCTAAGGCTTCAGGAGTGCAGGAGGGAACAGGAGGGAAAAAGACAAGACTCAGGCTGCAGAGGGGCGATGTTTCTGTCAACTCCGCATGGCACGCGGCACCAGCACTAGAACAGGCCATGGGGAGTGGAACCACTGCTGGGCTCAAGGCCACGGTCAGCTGACCACCGGCGGGAATGGAGGCCTTAGACAAATGACGAGGGTTCGGGTTTCATGCGGGGGTTTAAGGGACCTCATTACTATTGACCCCCAAATGGTGGGATCCCCTTATAACAAGGACCCCAACAAGGTACCCGAAAATGAGCCAGCGCCAGGCCTGGCCCAGCGTCTTCTCTTTCCGAAGGGTGTCGATCATGTCCAACACCATCAAGTAGGCATCCTTTTTGAGACCGGCCAAGGGTAGTATGCTCATATGGGATTTGGCAGGGGCATTTCCCAAAATAGGGGTACCCCTTTTATTGCCCCTTTTATACCCCAAGTAGAATGGAATCCCCTTAAGGGAACCCCCCAAAAAGGGTACCCCTACTTTCGGAAGCCACCATGCACTTCACGGCGCATGCCAAAGATGCCAAAGAGATGGGACCCGCCCAGACATCGGGCATCATCGGGCTCTCCTTCTTCGGTAGGATCTGGCCCTCCTTCTGCATGGACAGCAGCGCCTCGAGAGACAGCCGGGGTCTGGCAGCAAAGTATACCACAGTATAACATTGTGTATATATATATATAGTATGACAAAGTACAAAGTATATAATATAATATAATATATGCAACCCCTCTACTATATATGTAGTCTACATAGTCACTTCCCTGAGTGGTCGACGTCGATGAAGCTGTCGGTGATGCTGCCCGGGCCGGTGTAGCGCGGCCTTGTTCACGGCCGAGAGAAGCTGTCCGAAACTCTTCCCAACGCCCGACTTGCCAAACTTCTGACGCGAGATTGCCAAACAGTGGCATCAGCCGTTAAGAATAAAGAACGACCGCGACCATGGAAGCGCAGGGATTCTCCGGAGCAAAGCTGCTAGGCTGATCCGCAAGCGCACAGCGCGCGCAGTGAGCCCGCGGCCCGCTGTAACCTGGAGGGTCCGGCAGTGTCTGTGCACGCTGGCGCTCGCCCTTGGCTGGCACAGCGCAAGAACTCGTAATCATGCACCAGCCTTTCGGTTAACACCTGGCAGGAGCCAAGTGATTTTTGTTTGGCGCTCTGGCAGAAGCCTGTGGAGTTGCTCAGCCTGAAACAACCCCAAGCTTTCAGTGTCTTCCCCAGCAAAAGCCTCTGAGATACATACTGCACGCATCACCCCCAAACACCTGAAGCTTCCCGAAACCCATTTGATTCTGCTCCCAAGGTGCAGCCAAATCAGCGTCACTCCAACCAGTCAGTCTCCTGCCATCCAGGCTTGAATGGAGACGACCCTGGACCGAAACAAGCCCACCAGTTCCTATGCTGCAGGGGAAAAACCCAGAAGTCAAAACTGCAAGGCACGCAGCAATCGGTGTCACGGGAATGCCAATTACGACCAAACATCGTAAAGTGCCTCTCACCTGCCATTGCTTTATGTTGTCCTCCTTGTCGGTCCATCTCTTCATAGATGCTTAACGCGTCGCTATACGTAGTCACCATGAATGCACCCTGACAGGCCCGACACAGCGAGTACGAGTAGGAAGCGCGGCGGCTGAGCGGCTGCCATTCGCCGCCCTGCGTGACATGGAAGACCCAACCCGAGGTGGGATTTTGGGTTTAGGGTTTGGGGTTCAGGGTTTAGGGTTTAGGGTTTAGGGTTTAGGTTTAGGGGTGCGAGCTGTCCGAAGTAATGCCATCAATGTCCACATGAGCACAAACTGTCCGAACATGTAAGGGTTCTGGCAACTCATGCCAATACTGAACAGACTCCGCAGCTTTGGCCAGAGGCCGATCCACAGAGTCGCCAAGGGAACTACGAAACTGCGACAGTCAGAATCACATTATCACATTCTACTACTGTCCTTTTGATCTTCATGTCCTCCCTTATAGTGTGCTATGTTCTTCGTTTTTGTAGAATAGGAGGACAGCAGCCCAGAGACCTCACTGAAGAACCGGCCTGCGCTCGATGCACCTTGGGGGACCTCGCAGCAGTCCAAAGGTGCTGCAAAGCTCTTGATGTGGGGAGGGTTTAGGGTTTAGGGTTTAGGGTTTCGGGTTTAGGGTTGGGTAGTCCAATTAAGGGCCCAGACATCAGAACCCTTTAAGGGAGGTGAGGGGGCATATTAAGGGCCCATGTAACTACCCTCAGATTGATTTGGGGGGGGGGGGGGGTTCCGAAATTCGGATTATAAGGAAGGGCGACTATACTAGGGGTCCCTCATTTTCGTAAAGCCGCGTAAAGCCCCATATGGCTTGATGCATAAGAGCCCGACTTCTGACTAGTTGCTGCGAGTTGTCTTTGACAAAGTTCGGACGAAGCTGTTCAAAGCGGGTACCGTACAATCGACAATCCTTTCGCTAAGCAGGTTTCTTCGACACGCCATGTCTGGATATTCCTACGTACTATGAAGTGTGGCACTGTGCGCCACCCCTGACCGCTGCCGTCAAATCTGCCCTCAAGTCCACAGCAAACATGCCCGATGTGGCATGAACAGTACATCTGCCAAAGCCTATTCTTATCCACCCGTCTGCCTCGCGGGCCGCGCCACGCGCGCCGCGCCGGCGCCAAGCGCCGCTGCGAGGCCTGCTGCCAGCGCGTGGGACGAAGAGCCTGGGGGAGGCCAGGAACGGGAAGGAGGCTGGAAGCTTAGGGACTCGGGGGTCTAGGGGAGTTGAGGGCTTCGACTCTCACACACATACGAGGCAGGGAGTTGAGGGTTGGGAGGTTCAGGAAGGTTGTAAAGCCTTGGAAGGTCAAGTTCCAAGCTCAACGAGCGCAATCTTGAGGAGAGTTTGGCTTTTGGGAATGGGGCTTAGTGAAGTATGGCTCGGCCTTGCACCATGCCTGCTGCGACTTCTTAGTCCAAGTTCACAGGTTCGGCCACGATTGGTAGCTTCGGAACATCGGGACTTTGCGCAGGATGGCTAAAGACGGCTTGCCGTTGCTAATCACAGCCATCTCCGAAAGTGACAAGAGTCATCAACTGTCAGAAGCCCGTACCTGGGGTTGGCTGCGCTGCTGAAGTTTCACGTCCTGCCAACAGAAACCAAGCAACATGCACCGGGATGTTGCTGAAGGGTCCAGTGCAGGGATGTGTCAAGAACTCACGGCTACCCCAGCTTTGAATGTCAATCTACACACTGCAGTCCCTACCAGCCTTTGGGGCTTAGTTCGGGCTTAGAGTTGTCTGGCGAGGCAGGTGATAGAGCGTCCTTGGGCAGTAGCACGCAGCGACGGCCTGAACAGCAAAGAGCAGCAGGAGAGACGTTTCCAATTTCCAACTGCTCACCACGAGCCGAACACTTGGGGGGTTTTACGAAAATAGGGGACCATGAAATAGTAGGATTCCCTCATTATAAGGACCCCCGCATAAGGCACCCCCAAATTCGGAAACCACCACTTGGGAGGCTCGAGAAGTCGGAAGGAGCTTTGGGGTTTGAGATTTTGGGTGTAGGGGGTGAAGACTCTCTTGACTCTTTCTCATCTACGCGAGATACTTCGTGACATTCTTCCTACCAGCACCAGCCATTTCCCCAATGATTCTTTTACCCCTGGAGATCCCTCAGTCTATAGAAGTGCGCAAGCCATAGCCCATCACAAGCCACTGAGATGTGAAGAGGGCGCCTCTGCCGGCTTGTGGCAGTTCCCGGCGCTGCGAACCTTGGATTTCGCTTTAGACATTAGGGTTTAGGGATGGTTTAGGGTTTAGGGCATATAGGGCATAGGGCATAGGGTTTAGGGTTTAGGGTTTCGGGGTTTGGGGCTTGGGGTTTAGGGTTGAGAAAGATCAGCCTTCTGCCACATGATATTCCGAAGATTGTTGGCTTGCGCCCCTTCTCCACTCGAAGCACTCGAGGCCCCGACGCCCTCTCTAGCACTGCGGGCGCGGACAGCGCCTGGCTAGGTCATCCACACACATCCAGTTTGGGCTTAGGTTGAGGGGGCATTTCAGAGTTTGGCTGTCTGGTGCCGGGCACGTCGTAATGTCCGGACGCCCTAAACTGCATGCTGAAAACTGACAACAGAAGCTTCCGTACACCATACAGCTGCCACAAGATCACGCTGCCTAGCCGGAAGCCTTTTCGCCTGACATCAAACCGGTGAGAGCACCACGAGGCTTGCCGCCCCCAAGCTGTAGAGCTCTCCGCGTGTTGGCATGGCCTGATGTTCGCGGGCTAAGGGGTTGGCTGTGGGTTGCGTTATGGTGCGTAGGGTTTGGCAAGGGCATCTACGTTTGCGTGCAGTGCAGTTGAAAACTATCCCGTACATAGCGAAATCCTAAACTATTCCCGCCTCTAGGCCAGACAAGCCCTCCAACTTCCGCTGGCTAGAGCTAAGAACTGAATTGACGCGCAGTGCAAGGGCCTCAAATGACGCAAGGAGCCGCAGGATTGAAACGCTTGAGCAAATGAAGAGCGTGCAGCATCTTCACCTTTGCGTGGACGTTTATCCGTGTAGCCACTTGGTGCCAAGCATGGTCCTCCATCTAGTGATGAGCGTTCATCATCTGGACTGTTTCGGATCAGTACGATAAGAAATGACTGTCTTGGCCCCAATTGCACTCTACATGCAAATTTGTCTCAAAGCTTCAGCGTCTCCTCAAGAATGCAGTAATCCACGGTGGTTCCTGGTATCTTGTTTTGGGAAAAGAACAATGCCAGTCAAAACTGCCAGCTCACCAAAACCAATACGATCAAATGGCTCGAGGCCAATATCACGGACAGCCTCTGGCACAAACAGCTGGCACTTTTTTTCAAGGACGCACCTGCCCAAACCCACGAACACCAGCACACACGTCTAACGGGATTAACATTTTGGGAGGTTGGGATCTAGGAATTTAGTTCAATAGGGCCTTGAAGCAGATGCACGGCTAGTCAATCTGCTTCCTCTCATCGTATCTCAGAGGCATGTCCCAGTGTCCCTGGATCTGCGGGCATCTAAGCTGGTATTGCTATGGTGAGAAATCTGCCTTGAAGCCACGCATGACTTCCAAGAATCCGCCCTCCAAACGTCGAAGATTCGTTCATGCTGTGCTTCCGAGAAAAGCTCACACCTAGGATGAGGCAAGATCCTATCCTGAGACTTCAATGCGATGACCTGGCAAACACCTTGAAGGGCGAACTTCGATTCGGGTGAGGCCCATCTGCATGTCCCCAGCAGTGCCACCCGGAACAAACAGACCCCGACATGATCTGCTGAGAGGGATCGCTCTCTTGTTTAGGGTTTAGGGTTTAGGTCTCTTGGCCTCTACTTTGCATGCCTCGAAACCCCCTTCGGGGCATCAGGGGGGCGCCTCTAGGACCTTAATGCCCCCAAGGTAGGTGGCGATCAGAGAGTCTCAGCAGCGTCATGTAGCCTACTGAGGTGAGTGCCGAGTCGGTAGCATTCGTTCTCATCAGAGAAGCTCTTCAGGCGGAGTCGAACCGCATGAGATACAGGAAGACTCGCTCTGGTTTGGAGGTTTCCGAAAACAGGGGTACCCTTTTTATTTTTCAGGGTCCCATTCAGGGGATTCTATTCTATGTGGGTACGTTATGAAAGGGGTACCCCAATTTTGGGGAAAGACGCATTTGAAGGAGGAAAAGCGGTACGTCTAGCGAGCTTGCAACAACGACATCACCCAGGACTCCTACGCAAGCAGCGGTGGAGATTGCCTAGGGGGAGGGCTTCAGGCCTCCACCACGAATCTTCGTTCCCATTCAGGGGAACGCCATATTTTGGGAATCCCCATAAGCTTTTTAGCACCTGACCCTAAACCCTAAACCCTAAACCCTAAACCCCCGAACCCCGCCCCCTGAACTCTCCACCATTCCTCAGTTCTCCGGACGGCGGAGCTCGCAGCCCAGGATGCACCGCGCCTGAGGGTTTAGGGTTTAGGGTTTAGGGTTTAGGGTTTCGGGTTTAGGGTTTAGGGCCGTCTAGGGTTCAGTTTGCAGGTGCCCCCATATGTGGACCCAAAGTAGTGCGGACTGCCGGGAGGCCAACCCTTTTGGAATTGGGGTAGGATTGAGGTGGAGGCTTACATCGCAATTAATGCTGAGGTTTTGGCTTTGGGGGGCGGGGGGGGGTGATGGTGATGGGGGGGCGAAGGGCTCTCAACACCAGAAACGCCCCGAAACCCCTCAAACCCTAAGCCGCCTCCTCTGCGTTCAGAGACTGCTGCTTAGCTGGGGCTTCCGAGCCCGGAGGTGACCTGGAGCTTCATGGGGGCCGACGACATCGTGGAGAGTTGCGTTGGGTTCTTGGATTTAGAGCCCTCTGCCGAGCTAGAAGTGCATCAGTTCCGACCCGGGCGTAGCAGAAAGATTCGGAAGATCGGAGTTTGAATCGCGGGGCACGCTTGTGGGCCTTGTACTGCCTTGTACTCTCGGAAGCGGAGGCAACTCAACTACATGTCAACACTAGCAAGGCATGTTGTTGGCGCACTCCAGCAGCATCGCGATGGTGTCCCCCTCTTCGATGCTTGCCTTGCTTTATGGATTCAAGGATGATTGATTTCAGGGTTGCTGCAGGCTGCCTGACATGCGTAACACACGCACCCGTGCGGCAGCAAAATGAGGACACGAATTGTTGCAATACTACGCTAACAGTTGATGCCCGACAGTTACCTTGATTTGGGTGGACAGGTCGGCTGCAAGGTCCAGTGAATAGTCCCCAGACTTGTGTGACGGTAGCTGGCAGCAGCTGGCAGCAAAAGCAGACTCGCGTCAAGATCTTCCGATGGCCGGGCTGGTCAGGACAGTACACCCAAGACCAAAACATCTCCAAGGCTACGTAAGTACTGCAAGTACTGCAGCTGCTGCCTTCTCGTCCTTGGGGATCCAGTCCCACCTGCCAGTGAGGACAGAGTCTCAGCCACTGTCAGTTTCGCTCGGCTCGCCTTTGAACACAAACCCCGAAACCGCAAACCCAACCCCCGTCAGATTCATGGCAGCTCTGCCCGCAGCCCACATGGAAGTATGTCAGCCACCTTTCAACAACTAGCTGAATCCCACTCAGCACCCCGTCATGCGATGCCTGGTTTCCCCGGCTCTTCGAAGGTGGTAGCCGGACTTGATGCCACTGACAAACGCCAAAGCAGGCTTCCTGGGAGCCAGGACCCGCGCTGTTTTCTGGAACTTTGGGTTCCGGGGCTTGTGGTAGAAAGCTTCGGCAGCTTCGGGGCTTGAGGTCGAAAGTTAGTTGCAAGGCCATATGGCGTCGTGGATCAATACGAATAAGTTTTTTGGGGGGTAAGATCTGAGTGCCCTGCTCGTCCGGATCCTGGCACAACGGGGGAGGGGATTCTCCGGGGGAAAAAGGGAATCTTTGAGTGAGGGGGTGAAGTGCAGCGAGCTCGCACACCTGCTGGCTCTCGTTCCAGCAGCCCCAGACCAGAGTGGCCATCTCCATGCTGCCCTGGCATTCCCGAAGCGACTGGTAGGTTCCCATATGGCTTGAGCGTTGTGGGGTCCCTATCCTCATGTTCAAGGTACTGCTTGAAAAAGGCGATTGCTTAGGGACCTGGCTGTGTAGGTCAATCCAGGTCAATAGCTAACAACTCGGACTCCCCTCGTCCCAGGCTTGCCCCGGAGGTCCTGCGTAGGTGCAAGTGAAGATGTGTCAGGCACTTCCAAGAGGAGAAACTCCCGGCCTGGAGTCAGCAGCAAGAGAGCGTCAATTCTGGTTTTCTTGCAGTCAGCTTTTTTAGAAGTCAAATCGGCTCAGGCTGAGTAGTGTTCATACGTCCATCACTTTTGCTGTCGCTGACCATTTGCTGCTCAAGATGATGATTCGGAAAGCCAATCAGGCATTGAACAGTCTGCTCCTGGCTGCTACTTCTGTATGAATCAATGACGTACTCCCGTTCGCGCGCTACTGTACTTGCCTGCAACGCCTGACACCACGAGGATTACTTATACCGTGAATGACCAGGGCGTGCGACAATCAGGACCATTAGCCTGCCAACCTGCTTGGCAAGCAAAACAACACTGGGAAGGATGCCTCTTTTCTGAATGTTGCGCCGAGGGCAAGGCTCACGAACTGGCTTACCGATCTGACCTTCGTCTTCCCTGTGGGGGGAAATTGCAGCATCACCTCGACTGGCAAGACTTTGGGAATTTCTGTGAGTCGCTGCGCCTCACAGCTACACAGAGTACAGCCAACTAAGCTTCCAAGCGACCGCAACCAGGGCCCCAGCTCGCTTTTGGAGGTCTGCACGACCCAGGGTCAACCTGGCCAAAGCAGTCCCACGCTGGCCAGAAGAACAAGATAAGGATTCCACGCGACTGCCGCTATGCCACTTCGGCATTGTAAATTGCCAAGCATCTCCCGGAGCCCTTGTTCTTCTCAAATCGACAACATGTTGAGCCCTCAAGCCCACGTTTGCCCCACGGCGCTGCCTCACATGTCCGGCATCGTCCCCTGTGGGCAGAAGGGTTGGTCTAACTTTTGGTGCTTCTGACGACACCCTGCTTCATCACTTGCAATCCGAACCGAGTGACCCTGAGCCAGCCTATCGACGTGTCCGCGCTCTCCAGAGAGGTGGTACTCTGGTTGGCGGAAGGGGGCTTCAGGTCCTCTCCAACTAACGAAAAGTGCACCAGGCTCGCATTGCTGCCAAGTTCTCGTAACACACACTTCGGAAGTTGTCAGAACGGCCTGTGTCTCTGTGACAATCCCCGCCCGGTCCAGCGTCGTCAGCATTCCCTGGTCGCGGCCCTCGGCGAAGGGTGCGTCGGAGACGAGGTAAAGGTTCAGAAGCGGCCGCCTCTCGACCTTTGGTGAGGCGCAAGCATCAGAACAGCATTACTACCAGCAATCACAATTAGGGTGACTTATGGTGCTTTCTCGGTGTTGTCTGCAAGGTCTGATTGATGCGGCCTATGAAACACAACTTGAAGTTGCCCCGACACAACGCTTCTCCCCACAGCGCACTAACGCTTCGTGCTAGTCTTACTGTCTCGTGCGAGAATGCAAAGCAGACACCGTGCCCTTCTTCATGATGGGGTGCATGAGGCGGTTTATGTACACTGTATTCAAAGGCTTCACCATGGCCAGGGGCTTCAGGCTTCTGAAATGCATGCCCTCAAACCTCGGCACCCCTGAACTCGAACCTACATGCCCGAAGCCGACGATCAAGACATGTCAAGGAAGCTCTCCGATGCCTCGGCAACGGAAGGCTGCTGAGTGCTGCCCGACTCGCTCCCTGAAGGAAGAGGGCCCAAGGTGCGACTTTTCTTTGAGTCTTGTGCTGAGAGACCCAAAAAGGACACCCAACGAATACGTTCACCAATGTTCAAAAGGAACCATATATTCATTCACCAGTAGCAATCGTACAAACCCTGTTTCATGGCGTTGCGTTCAGGGTGTACATACATATATACACATATTACATATATATCATATACATATATATAGATATTATAATACATTGACTCGGAACGTGGTGTTCTACCATGGCCACCATGGCTCTCTTCTTGGAGCCGGAGCAAAGATGCTCTGTGCCATGCGACTCGGCAAGTTCACCTTTTCAGTGTTTTTGCTGTATAAGAATTCAGCGCACGGCGTGTGCTTGGCTGACAGCTCATCCTATGCAAGCCTATGGCATGTCGAAGCTAATCGACACCGTCGCTCGTCGGCTACATCATCTCGTACAACAAAACAGCTACTTCTACTTCATGTGGAAGTACAACCGGGTTGTGGCTTCGGTGACTTAATAGCCACCCACCAACCATCTCCCTAAACCCTCAACCCCCCCCCCCCCCCCCGGAACTAGCACTGAGCCCCCGAAAACCTCAAACCCCCACACCTTTAAAACGCCCCTGGTCTGAGTCCGCAGCTCGTGACCGCTTCCGCGGAATCCTTTCCATTGTCGATGCGCGGCCGCTGCGCCTTAGCCGACCGATTCTGGTGGTTTTCAAGGCTACAGTCATACAGTTCAAGATACACTGTTGTTTTACAGTTCATGTGAAGTTTGCTAGAATACACTACTTCTGCGATGGTCTAGCCTCGCGATGCTACATGGAAGCTGCACATGCTAGAAATGCGGCCTCCAGCCCTGCCAACCCTCTGGCCTCAGCGGCCCTCACGCTGTGTCATCACGCACACACGCGCGCATGCACACACACACACACATACATACATACCTATCGACACACCCCAACACAGGCGGCACTTCGACAGAGGCTACAGCCGGCGGCTCATCGGAGAGAGGTGTATCGGCGCCTCGCTTGGATCCTGGCATTGCTGCTGGATCGGATGCACATGGAGGATGCAAGGTTGGAGTAACGCTAGAAACCAGGACAAGTGGCTGGGCACTGACCCCAGCCAGGAATGCTAGGCTATGTGATTTGGGGTTTCGCGATGTCTGCGAAAGAATGACGGCTTTCGAACTGGTTCTGGATGTTGAGAGGGATCTGGGATGATAGGCTGCACTGTAGGCTCTGCAGGCTGCTTGTGTCACACGCCTCGGACCGCATTGGCTTGTATCGCCAGCCTCGAAAGTTGGCATGGAAGCACATCCGGACGGCAGAAACCGAAAAGATTGTAAAACAAGAAATCTCGGCCATGGGAAGAACCATGTGCATCCAACCTCTACCGGCCAACCTGCAACTAGCAAAGCACCCGCCTTGAACGATGCCGTCTGTGACCCTATTCAACCCGAGCCCAACACTGCCCTAAGTATAGAAACTGTTCTGTTTATTTCATTGCATGTGACACAAGCTAAAGAGCCCCATGCAACAAGCAATTCATGTTTATTAGCAAAACATGCTCCCCAACATTTAATCGCTGAACTGCTTGGAAAATATACTGAGTGCCACCCCGCTGCGTCAGCGTCGGCAACAACCTGCTAATGGTCTCGTTTGCCTGCTGCAAGGCTGGAGTTTGGGGCCTTGGCTTTGGGAGGTAGTTAGGGCAAGACAGGAAATGAGAGAACAGACTTCACCTAGCGAGAATGCCTTCATCTAGCACGCTCGTGCTGAAACTGAGACTCTCTCTTCCTCTCTCTCTCTCTCTCTCCACAGCTCTCTCTCTCTCTCTCTCCCTCGCGCTTCCGCTTGCGTCTCTGCACGACCCCCTTTCCACCTCCTTGACTTTGCTCAGCTCATCCTTGTCGGGGCAGTGGGCCCGCACTGGTTCTAATCTAGTTTTTCGCGGCAACGGTGCCAAGACCCGCAACGCAACCCTAAACCTTCAAGTGCCTTCCACTCATGAGTACATGGTAGCAGGATAGGCGTTGCCATGAATGTGAACTCCCGGACTCTAGAAAACAATACACAGGAAACAGAAGCCCGAGCTGTGGGTCGGCTTGAAACACAGCCCCAGTCCCCTGTCGATGGGAAGCTGACCCCTAAACTGCCCAAAGCAGGGAGCACCCTGCACATTGGACCTTAAAAGGACCTCAGTATCGTCCTCGGGAAGACGGAGGAGGCCACCCACAGTACCCAACTTGCTGCTGAAGGCCTGGCACCAGAATTGGAGTTCGAAGCACTGTCGGGGGGGGGGGGGGCGGGGGGTTGGTATTTCAGAGGCTCATAGGCTTTTTTGCCACTCAGGGCCTCACAACCTTGGTTCTGAGATTAGGATTCAGGTTCTCGTGGCACATGCTGTCAGATGGATGTGCACTGGAGCAAGAAACGATGTTGATATCAATGGCGCAACGTAACCTACGCCAATCCACGATATCTCCAGGAAGGCGGTCCAGAAAAGAATAGAAACATGATGACCACATGTGACATGAGCCAGCCAGCTGCTGCGCCTCCAGACCTTCTTGTAGGGTCCTTCCACAGAAAAGGCACGTGCAACGTGCAAAAAATGGCAAAAAACCACGCCCAAATCCAGTGAAGCTGGATGTGCACGCAGCTACACGTCGGATGGCGCATGCAAGTTGGTAGTGTTTGGCAGTGCAAGGTAGAATACAGTACCTTCTACTCGAGCAACACATGGCATCCCGAATCTTCACTGTTCCCATGGCTGGGCTCCTCGAGCCCTGCTTCATCTTCTCGCTGAGGATGCCCCGAAAGCCTCAGGTTGTTGAGTTAAGGTCCCATCCGGAACCCGTTCAAACTTTCGCTTCCAAGCGAAGATCCCTGCAGTCATTTGCAGTAAATAGCGGAAGTGCGCAGGCTTGCTCTTGCTGGCGCATGTGTCAGCCAAGACGGAAACCGCCGTTGGCTCGCTTGGCGTCCTGCGCTGGTGCGAGCAAGGATTTGCTTGGCTGAGGCCCAACATGAGGCTGGAAATTGAGATCGCTACTGTCCACGTTGCCGCTCGGGACTTTTGGGACTAATCTTCCGAACACCTTTTGATCGTCTGAATGATCTTTTCGCACGGCATGGCAGTTTTCTCCATGAAGCCGCAGCCATTCTTACCTGCCTCCAGCGCCGCATTCTCAGGCGAGGTCGGCTGCTGGTTCCTTGCGAGGACCTGGGTGCGATATCGGACCCATGAATATGTCTGTCAAGAACGGCTCGCCAGCGTTTGTGGGTGTCTTGGGTCTGGAGTACCCCAATCCAGCAAGATAACAGCAAACTAAGCAGGTCAGGGCCCTGCTCCTTCCAAGGTCTGGAGGCCTTCCTATGTTTGTGGCCGCTTTGGAATCTGCTCGACCTTTTGTGTGGGGAGGCACCGGACCCCAATGACTACCAAGTCAATGTAGATGGGTCTTGGGACCACGTGCCACCAACATACCGGCTTTGCGCACTGCATTAGGACTTCGATTCTTGAGTTTTCCCAACGTTTCCATATTCCATGTGCGTGCTTCCGTGCTTTTCTGCGTGAACTTCTGCCCCCTCAGGTTTCGGCCTCCTTGGCTTGGTTCAACACCTTCGCGAGGTGCGGAAAGACCTCCGCAACTCGGCTCGTAGCATCAGAACTCCTTGTACATCTTGTATATTCTTGTCTTGCGATGAATCAAAGGACGTGCATGCAAGCCTCACAGAACCCCGCAGCAGGTGCAGCACTATGAACATCTGTAACGTGTTCACGTCCCCTTTTTACACCACTCGTCATGTGAACAGCAGACACGCAGCTTTAGAACAACCCTCCTTCACAAGCGATGTGTGGCATCAATTCTTGTAATTGGTCGTGCTTGCCCTGCACCTGATTGGAGTTGAACACTGCATTCCGGTCCTGCCGACAAATCAGTCTGCGGCTGTTTGTTTTCCATTCAGGCGCTTCATCAAATGCAGGCCTTGGGTGTTACTGTAGTCATGGAGATGTGGATGGCTTGGCATGATACCTGTCTTTGCATGTTGCTGATGACAGACACAGTGTCGGATAGCAAGCGGATCGGGGTGCGGAGCCAAGGTAAGACTTGGACAGTCATGCTGTTGAACAGCTAGATTCGACATAGCAACTTGGGTGCTTGGCGCTTCGAAGCAACATTGAACATTAAGCGGGAAACTGTCTGGTATGTCTCCTCCCCCTCCCCAACTGTCTCATGGATAGTCACCGCCACACATGTCTTAACTCGTCCTGCAGTGGCTGCAGAACTGCCACACGGTTTTTGTCTCTGTTGCTGCTGTTTGCGCCGTTCTGCTGGGTTGTTAGCTAGCAGCTGCATGCCAGTCCGCCCCGGTCCTCCTCCGGAACGCTCTGAGACCATGTATACATCGATTGAGACACGCTCTGGACGTTCACCGACAGGCTCTCCCTTGGAATTCCAAGGAAATCTCAGTCGGCAAGGTTCGACGTGCCACTTGGGCCCTGGCAGCTCTTGGTGCTTCTCCTCCGTTCGTGACAACACCTCATTGACCCAGCCGGCTGCCTCGAAGAGCCCAAACCTTAGAGAACGAACGCACTGAACACAAAGACAACAAAGCCCCTGGCAGGTTGGATCCTCTTCAGTTCGGTGTGCAAATTGTGCGGCCAAAGGCGAAACATGCAACGTGACCAGTCCCGCTTCTGGCGGACCCCCTTGTTGAAAGATGCCCCTGCGAAGCTGTGCTCCCCGCAGGGTCTCCATCTGCTCATGCTACGGAAGCCGGTAGGATCCTAGCTGTTTCAAAGCTGCGACAGAGCTGCAAGGTGTGGGTCAGGTAAATGCTGGTATGTTTGTAGGTTCTAGGGCTGTGCCCGAACAAGGAAAAAATCAGATATCAAGAGGATGCTAGTCAAGCGGTTCTCCTGATTGGTCACGGGGGGTTAAAGTTTAAGACAACTACAACTCCTCGCACGTGTATGGTCTGACGTTTGCCTTCCTCTCATGGTGCCATGCGAACACAGGGCTCGGGCCAAATCAGCGGAACAACCACAAACATAGCGCGCAGCAGACAGGGATGTCGAAGCCCATTGCAGCTGGTTCCAGCCATGCAGGCACGTGATGAGCCCTGTTAGATCTGCAGGCAGTGCCCTTTTGGCGGGCGCAATCAAAGGGTCAACAGCTCGTTGTCCTGCCAGAACAGTTTGGAGGGCTAGACAGATCCATGCCAGGCCAAGTGTCGCACGATCAGCGAGCAGCTCGCACCCAAGGAACCCTGGATCATCACCACACCCCAGAGCCGGCCTTCAGAAGCTGCCGCACAAAAGCTGCCTCGCGATTACCGCAAGGGCTTCGGATTGAGAAGGCAGAAACGATGTGTCTGTGCTTGCACACAAACGCAGATGAACTAAAGCCCCTGCTGACAGAGCGACGGGCCTTGGCATCATAGCTGTGCAGCTCTTTCCACTCGTTTGAAGAAACCTCATGAAGGGCTGTATGCAATGGCAGTCTAAGATGTACTGGAACCGAAGACAAAGCAGATTCTCTCGTTGCAAAGCGCATGCAAGCCCTGGTTCCCCATGCAGCTCTGGGTTCACCAGCCTCTATGCTTCGCCAGCCCACGGCCTGCCCCAGAATCAAGCGCATGTTTGCTAATCAAGGTAGGGTTTTGTGTTTCGGGTTTAGGGTCCAGGGTTTAAGGTTTAGGGTCCAGGGTTTAAGGCCACATCGTTCATTTAAGATCTGCCCAAGCCGAAGCAGGAGGTGTTGGTCCCGGGTAAAGTGCACTCTTCTGCATTTTGATTTGGCCCGATTTCGTTCATCGAATCGAAATCCTGGTTCTGCAAGTCTCAGCCGTAAGAAATTTATTAAGGGAAGCCCTGTTGCAGCATTGAAATGGAAATATTTCCTTAATCCTCCATGTGCACCCTACTGTACACACCCAGACCCTAAGCCTGAGTCCAGGCAACCCGACCTCCAGGTGTCGCTTCTTCCGCGCGCGTGGTGTCTCGACAAGACCAAAGCGCCAGGTGCGATCCTCGGACATGGGCGCAAGGCGCAGAGGGCGCAAGGGGCTTTTGCAGGGCACACGAGGGTTCGGCAAAAAAAACACAACGCACAACAACTGATGACAACGGCTCGGTTCCAACAGCCACGCAAGATGACACCGCAGTCAGGTAGCAGCAATGCTGCCCGCAGATGCAGAACTTACGGGATGCGTTATTTGCGGCCGTGCTATGTCCCACAGGCCGTTGTGCCGGTTGTAAGGTGTGGTCCCTGCGACATTCACATGCCTAGGGCTGCTGAAGGATATCTGCTAGGGCCCTTGGACGGATGGAACGGATGGACAGGATTTGCGCAAATGGACAGGCCTTACAGGCGCGGAATGAAAAGTAATCACCCAGGCCACGATCAATTTGACACCCTCAACCTCCAATCCTCCCTAAACCCTAAACCCTAAACCTCCAATCCTGAACCTGGAAAAGCTCACGGCGTTGTATTCCAGGTGGCCTCCACGGGCTCGAAGTTGATGCGCTCATCAGGGTCGCAGACCTTCCCAAAGTGGCTTTTTCGCTTCCGGGCGAGCGGAGGAGAGTTTCAGAAACGAGAAGCTCGAAGGATTGGCCACACAGGGCCTAAAAATCCTACGAGTGTAGCACGCTGGAGCTTTGTTCGCGTGGAGACCTGCCTTCGACCATCTTCGACAGCACCTACGCATTTCTAGCCAAAACTCTGGGTCCATTCTTTTGCAACGTCTTGGAATCCCATCCAACATCCCAACGATAGCTCAACTAGCCATAAGCTCCATAGACCCTATCAGATTATCACCCGTGAACCGCAACCTCTGCCTACAACCTGAACACAATATGTGTAGTATGTAAGAAGAATATGCAGTCAGACGGTCAGACAGTCATTTACTCGGACTGTCAGATACTAAAGTTGCAGGATTGGATTTGGGATGCTGCCCTTAAATTAGTTCAAATACAGCTTAGGGAGGGCCGACACAGAAAGCCAGACAGTCAGACGCTGAAGATTATCTAAGAACTCTTACCCCAGAGCATCAGACAAGGCAATCAGACGGAGAGACTGGACACACAGCCGTCAAGTCTACTCTCAGTACCTGACTGCGTCTGAATGTCTGAGACAGTTAGACACTTAAAGAAGTTTACCTCGCAACAGACAGACAGTCAGAAAGTCAGACCATCAGGTTGATCTGCGAACTCTTTGAGGTGGAAAGACAGCTAGACGCCCAAGATTATCTAAGACGTATTACAGAACAGACAGTCAGACAATCGGGTCAATCTGAGAACTCTTGCAGTCCAGAATGAGCAGACGGCGAGACCAGACACACAGCCCGGCAGGTCTACATCAGAATGTATGTGTCTGAATTAAATCATATGTACTTGGTATTTCATTAACTGTATTTCATGAGTATTTAATCACAACATTGCCTAGTCAAAGCACTCGAAATGCACTACTTCTAGAAAATGCACTATTTGCCTGGAGAAGCCCAACAATTCAAACCTCCCCTGATGTGGGGCTTGTCCCTAGTACCATCGCTTTAAGTGGGCCAATTCTTCAGTTCGGGAGAGTTGTGCTTTTCTAGGCTGTTCTGTGCACATTGCTCTTGTCTAGGTACAGGATATGATTGATAAACTGTATAAATTGCTTTTGCGTTTCCATTAAAACTTTGGAAGATTGTCCAGCTGTACTCAAGTAGCTTTTTGAATCGCATGTAACTAACTCATACGGAACTATTTAACTAGTGCTCTACTAGGAACACCTGCCTACCAACAAATGAACACGTCCTTTGCATCTGCATTTGCCGGGATTCTTCATGGCAAAAATTGAGAAAATCCTAGATCACGTGACCCGATGTATTACATACATATGATACATATATATATATATACATATATATATATATACATATATATATATACATATATATACATATATATATACATATATATATATATATATATATATACATATATATAAATATATACATATATAGAAAGCCTAAACCCTGACCCTAAACTTAGACATATCCTCAGTCGCGAACTTATCCCCTGGGCCGGCCTTCAGAGGATAGGGCCCAAGCATCTTTCGCTTGGCGGGGAAGCCATGCCTAGCGAGCTGCGGCGTTTAAACTTTACCCAAAGGCTCCTACGTAGTACCTTTTAGGGTTTAGGGTATAGGGTTTAGGGTTACTAGATCCCCAAGAGCCAACCCAAAAAGGAACTACACCGGAGCCTTTGGGTTTTCTTCAGGCGTTTTAGGGTTTTGTTTCGCTCCCGCCCCGCTGGCCGAAGTAATCAGCAGGGTTCTTATCCCACATCGCTCGGCAAGATATCGATCGTTCTCAGTACACCAAGAAGGCAAGGAAATTCAACAAAAAAACGCCCCAAAGTAAACAAGAATCCCTAATCACGTGGTCACTTGTCTTCCTGGCCCCGTCCGGTACATGAATATTGACTGCGACTTGTATTCGTCGACCAGAGACATTTTTGATGCGGCTTTCGAGCGTATTGTCCCCGGCACTGTGATCGTTTTTGATGAGTATTTCATGAACCCAAATTGGCAACAGCATGAGTTCCGTGCATTCCAGGAGGCCGTCACAAAGCATGGTTGGACTTACGAGTATGTAGCCCTTAGCTTTTACAGTGGCCAGGCCGTCGTCAGAATCACAGGCAGCAAGACGCCAAATGCCATCTACAATCCTTGAGAAGGGTCCATATTAATCTCTATGTAGTCCTTATATAACTATATAACTCTAAACCCTAAGCTTTCGTTTGGAGCTGTGGTGCTTACGTGCTGAAAATCGCCTCGCTTCTGGTGTCTCAGTTTGGCAGCCTCCCTTCTGATTACTCTACTTATATCGGACTGGGGGGGGGGGGGGAAAGCCATCTTCTGTGTCATGTTCCCACGACAGGTCTTTCTTCTTGGTTGGTTTAGCTTGTTTGTTTCGTTTTTGCGGAAGCGTGTCCTTGAAGAGACCTTGATGGAGCTTGACGTTGTGAGGGACGTTTGGAAGGACGCCATGGACTGAGAATGCACCAGCTGGCTCGCTGTCATCCCACTTCTCTGGCAAGCCCGTGAAAGTGTCAAAGCCATGCACTGTCTGGTGCGGAAATAGAGAGGCAACGAAGCGGAGGGACTTTCCATGCCAAACTCCAAATTCCAGTACAAGGCCCTGGTCACCCAAATTGGAAGCTTCAGCAACCTCAGCACCCAGCCTGAGTATTTGCCGACTGCTGTACGCCAGTGATTGGACACAGCCCTTGAGGCGTGGAGCGTGCCAGATGACAGCTTGAGGCCACATACGCCCAAGGTTTCATGTCTGGGTCCTCCTCCAGAGCAGACAAGGTCTCCTCTGCACCTTCCATCTTGCCCAGGCGAATGCTGACAAGCCAGCCAAACGCGAAAAGGCCCCCCAACGTTCGCTCCAGGCCTTGAATGTCAGCGAGTCCCGAAATCTTGTTTTGGAGAGACCCTAGGCAGACCTCTGCCGCTTCATCCTGTTCGAGGCACACGCAGCAAACTGTGAGCAGAAGCAAGGCCTGGAAATGGAGTTTAGGTGCTTTAGCCAGCGATTGAGCTTCCGGGGCGGCCAGCAAGCTGGCCGCCGAAGCAGCATCCTCCAAATCAAAATATATTTGGGCCAACCGGGCCCTGGCCTCTCCGATGCTTGGCGCTGCGCGGAGGAGGCTCTTCAGCCCCTGAACCGCCGCTTGCTCACCCCCAAGCTCCGCCATCATCCGTGCATGCCTGATCCTAGTAGCGACAATTCGACCTAGGTGGGTCCTCACGGATGAAATCTTTGAGATGGCTCTCTCGCACTCTGCACATGCTTCTGGGAACTTTCTTTGCTTTTCATAGCATTCTGCCAGAAGCGCATGGCAAATGCCCTGCCATTCGACCAAACCATCTGCCAACTGCATGGCTTTGCAAGTCAGGTGACAGCACAACTCGTATTCCTGCGCATCACATGCTGCCTCTGCCTCCATCAAAACCTTCTGCAAGTCCTGCAGCGGCGCTTCTGTCCCGGCACAACATGAAACAGCTGCGCCGCGACAAAAGGGCTCAACTGAAAAAGCTGGCGCTTTCATTTTTGAGCCTGGAACAAGCAAGTTTCTCGGAACAGGGAAGCGTCTCGTCGGCAAGTAGGCCGGGTATGCATGATCATTCCGACGTTGCTTCTCGTTCAGGAACGATAGCAGCATCAGCCCGAACATCCTTCTCTGCGTGGCCACATGCATGGCAGGCATGCTTGAAAGATCTTAGCAGCTTCTACGACTGGTTTTAGGTTTAGGGTTTAGGGCTTCAGGGTCTACGGTTCCGAGTTTGTCCAGAGCCCGATTTGGGCTTGGGGCTTCTAAGATTTGGTATGCATCTTCTCGCCCCGCAACGGCTTTCAGCAAACAGCTGCGGGACGGCTCCATTGATTGCACGACTTGCTTCCCCAGATGCTTCTGAACCTTCTCACGGACGGGGTATTCTCTACCCTGCCACAGTCCATTTCATGCAAGCGATTGATTTTGGAGCACTAGTTGAGGACGGTTGTGCTTTGGGTTGCGGCTACAATGGCGGCTGCAACCGTGCGTCAGTCGTCAAGATTCGGGGTCCAGGCGATTCAAAGGTCCCCATTTTTTACCGCACTTCGTATGTCGGCCAACCGGGGCAGCCGAGGTGCTTCCGCAAGAAAAACGCCATCTGGTAGGACAGGGGCGTGTCGCGGCCTTAGGGAACTCGGCCCCGTCCCAGCTAGGGGTTCATCCCCGGACCATCACGTCGATTTGCAGTTACAGACAGGCCCTCCCTCGCGCTATGAGACTATGGCCCTGGCTTGCCCTAAACCCTAACCCTTGGCAATAAACTGACCACCTGAACTAAACCCAACCCTTCTGATCAAGTAAGAACTCCACACAGCAAACACAAGAATCCTCTTCGGACGACATTGAATATATACCGACCATTACGTAGGAACGGATGATTTGCCGTCCTCTCGGAGTACCGGGCTCAGCCAGACTGCATCAGACTGCAACGCCTCCCTTGGCAAGAGCCAAAGGCACAAAGTCTCAAAGTCCTTTAAGCTCCTGGCGCAGCTCCCGGTCGTAGTAGCGGAGGTTCCGGACAACGGTGAGGTACTCGGTGACCTCCGGTGGCAACCGTTCCTGGCAGCTAAGAGATTAGCATGTAGCAGCTGAGTAGCAATGAACAGCCCGCCCTTGGACCTGGAAGCAAAAGACCAGACCCATGAGCCGAATCGTGGTCTTTGGAACTTCTTGCATGGGATTTGACAACTGACAAACCACCCAAAATCCTGTGTGTAGAGGAAGTCAAGCCGAATCAACATCTCGATGGTCTTCAGCATGCGAAGCTCCTCGACCACTAGAGGAAGCGAGACAAATCTGACATGAACCTACCTACGTGTCACTTAATGGTACTGCCCCAAAGTCGGCCCATCCGTGTTGCCACATGCTTTCAAGATTGGAGTTTCTGTTAGCTTGCCAGGCTTGCAGATTTGCACATTGCAGTGAAAGCAAAACAGCGTGCCGGGATTTCACCTTCCAAACATCACTGACATGAGCAAGGATTGTGGTATACCTGCAAACTCAGACCAATGGTCGGAAATGCGGCTGATGTGTGCTTCTATGACTTTCCTCTACATTCCAGCCAATTCCGGTACACCTTTCTGCATGAGTTGGGTCTCAGCCAAAGAGGAACCTTTGAAAACCAAAAGGTGATCTCGGGACATCGACAGCCGCATGCGTCCTGCGAATCATCAGCTACGTGGATCAAAGGCTCCCGCAGCGCCGAGCGCAGGAGGACTGTCACGGCACCACTTGAACCTCGGGAGCACCGGGTTCTGACAACATGTTCTGACGCAAAAACACTCTAGGGTCTCAAGCACGCACTTTCCCACTTTCCCCCCCCCTTAGTCAATCCAAAGTGGTTCAGTGCCAGGCTCAGCCCTGTCGCAAGCATCGTATGGCCTTGGACAACGCAACGGGGATTCTGCTTGCCTGCGCTTGCAACTGAGGAACTAACTGTCACAGCGGCTCTGTCCAACACGTCTCCCGACGAGGTGCACAGGCTGACTGCACATGGCATCGGCAGCAGGGCGCCAGCGGCCTGACATGCAGCTGTGTCCATAGATGTAAGAGCTGGGAACCTTCCCAACAAACACCTGCAAAGCTTCCTGCCCACACCTCGAATTGCGTAAATTGAGGGCCGCTTTGGGCTAGGATTCGTGCATCATCATTCCAAGGAATCTGGGGCAGCTTCTCAATGCAGCGATACATGGGACCAGGTTGGCAAGGGCAAAAGTGCAGACTTCAAAGGCAGCGCTTCTGATTACCGCACACACCGAAGCTTTTAACAAATCATTTTATGAAACAATTTATACAAGAACTGGCCGAGAGGACCAGCTACAAAGACTTGCAGGCCCCCTCCCCCTCCCTGAATCAGCCAACGCTTTCCGTGTGCGGCCTCGAAGCGTGGGAAGTCCCGCTCCTGAGAGGTTTAGGGTTTAGGGTTTAGGGTTTAGGGTTTAGGGTTTAGGGTTTAGGGTTTAGGGTCCATCCAAAACAATGCGTGCAAATAGGTGCAGGTGCAAACACAGCAGATGTGATGTACTCAATGTGGCAGGTTGCATGTCCAAAGCAAGGCCTGTCTGCGGAAATTCTGTGATCGCGGTCAAGGGAAACACTCAAAACCGAGTTTCTCTTAAAAGCAAGAATTATTTGGGACCAGTGATTTCCAGTGCTTCCTTCCGGAAGCCCCCTACAGCCCGACTGCCAGGTTCGTCAGGGAGCGATGTGGCCATAAAGCAGGCGGAGGCGATCTGGAGCGAGCCCGGCACGGTGGAAGCAAAGTAGAACCTCCACATCGGGGACCATGTGATTCGAGTTCAGGTCAGTCAATCAGTTTATGTCTGAAGCTGGGTCATTAAGACCAAGAATCCTGAAGTCTCCAGATCAAACCTGCGTACAGAATGTCGTAAAGACTGGAAAATCTTCAAACTTCAAAACAGCCCCTCCTCACGGAGCTCTGCCGCACGCGCTGAGATGGTCTCGCCGTCTCGAAGGGTCTCGATCATCTTCAAGTACTCCTCCGAAGCCATCCGAACACCCCGAAGCGCCAAATACCTCCGAAAAGCCTCTGTATGAACCTTTGAACCAACATGGTGGGGTTGAGGGCCATGCTACCTGACGCACAACACAACAGACCGAACACGAACCAACGACCCCCCCAAGAACCGCCAAATTTCCCAAAAACCTTCAGATGATGTCTAAGCCATACTAAAAAATCCTCAAGGAAGGATGTGCCTCCAGGAAGACGAGAACATACAGGGCGAAGGAGTAGGGCTTGCCGGGCAGTGTCCCAAGGTCCGCCTCACCGCCACCCGGAGCTTTCTTTGGGAAGCTGTTGGGGTTTCTGATTTGTTTGCCATTTTAAAGCGATCGAGTCAGCATCGTCCGTCTTCAAACCGAAAGTTGACGATAAGCCAATGGCCGTTGCAGGGCAACAGGGCACAGGCATGGCTCAAAAGTGAGCTGGCAGCTCGGATTCGCGACCAAAAGGTCCAAGGACCCCCAGATCTGAGCTGTTGTCGAGATCGGGGATGCTTGCCTCAGGAAGACAAGCAGAAAAGCTTCGTCGACTCGTAGAGCTCCACCATCTCAGCATGCCAGAGGTCCGTTTCCATGAGCTCAGATCACTGTTGTTTGTGACGGAACAGACGTGCTGTTGATGTACTTAAAATGCAACTGGTTAAGCTTTCCATTGAACTTGAAGGGAATGCGGTCCTGGTAAAGCAGAGACACGGGACCTCCCAAGTCCATCCCCACATCAAAAGTCTCGGAAAGAGAGAAGGAAAGGCGCATCGAAATTTCCACGTTCAGAGAGGCCACCAAAGTTCCGTTCACAGACATGGTCAGAAGTGCCGGCGGAATGAGGCCCTTCATCTTACTCATGTCATACAGCAGCTTGACCTCGATCTTTGCAGTCCCCTCTGCCAGTGGCGCGGAAGACTTTGTCACGTAGCGGTGCAGCAGGGTGGACATGTACTCTGCGTAGAGGTAGCCCTGGTCCATGTACACGGAGAATCCGCCGGCTGTGCCGCCCACACAGTACAGAACTCCTGAGCCGTTCTTGGGCACCTCCACATCCAGAGTGGCCACGGAGCTATGGCCGCTGAGGAAAAGTGGAGCGTTGGACTCCGCAATCCGGGTCATGCCTTCGTACAGAATCCACTCCGTCAGCGGAGACTTCGGGCCGTCTTCGGGATGGTAGTAGACGGTCCACAGGCCGGCACCGATGGGCAACACTTTGTTCTGGGTAGCCTCCACCAAGAAAATCTGTTTCATCTTCTCAACCTGCTCTGGCATCTCCTTGGCCAGGTCCCGGGCCTGGGAGTAGTCTTTGGTGAGGTCATAGAGTTCCCAGACATCGGTGTCAGGGTTCCACTGCTTCATGCGCGTCTCATTGGGCTCCGCCCATGGGAAGCGGGGTCCAAAGACGCTGGCGAACCAGCCATCCTTGTAGACGCCACGGCTGCCCATAACCTCAAAGTACTGGGTATCCTTCCGCCCCATGGCAGATGCATTGTTCCACGTGTACATCATGGACACGCCATCCAGGGGCATCTGTGCAACACCCTCCACATGCTCTGGGGGCTCGATTCCCACCGCCTCATAGATGGTGGGCACAATGTCGCAGACGTGGTGGAACTGGGAACGTGGAGTGGGGTCATGCTTGATCACCTTCGGCCAGGACATGACCATGGGTGTTCGGGTGCCACCAAAGTGTGCGGCGATGAGCTTTGTGCTCTTGAAGGGCGTGTCCAACGCCCAGGCCCAGGAGCTGTGGTACATGTTGTCCACATGCTTCGAGCCCAGGGCACTCAGCCCACCAAAGTCGCGCTCCAACACAGCGATCTGCTCCTGCGCAGTGCTTGGAATCATGTTCTCCACAAGCATCTCATCAATGCTGCCGTGCAGGCCTTCGGCCGAGGCCCCATTGTCTCCGAGGATGTAGATGACCAGCGTGTTGTTGAACAAGCCTTGGCGCTCCAGCTCCTCAATGACCTTGCCGTCCTGTGTGTCCGTATGCTCCAGATATCCGGCATAGACCTCAACGAGGCGCAGCTGGAAGGCACGATCTGCCTCTGGGATGTGCTCCCACTTCTCCATGGTTGGGTCTATCTCAGTCAGCTCGGTGGTCGGAGGGATCCAGCCCATGGCCTTCTGCTTCTCGAAGGTGATGTTGCGAAGCTTCTCCCAGCCCATGTCAAACTTGCCCTTGTACTTATCGGCCCACTCGCTGTGCACGTGGTGGGGCCCGTGGGTGCCGCCAGGTGCGAAGTAGATGAAGAAAGGCCGATCCGGGGTCAGCGCGCGGTTGTTGCGGATGAACTTCACCGCTTGGTCTGCGAGGTCCTCAGTCAGGTGGTAGCCCTCCTCCGGGGAGTATGGAGGCTCGATTGGGTTGGTGTTCTCGAACAGTCGCGGCTCGTATTGTGACGTCTCGGCGGCAATGAAGCCGTAGAAGTAGCTGAAACCAAGGCCTGTAGGGTACTGGTCGAAGGGCCCGGTCTTGAAAAGGCTGGTAACTGGGGTGTTGTGCCATTTTCCGAAGGCTGCAGTATCATAGCCATACCCAGACAATACCTTCGCCACCGTCGCTGCTGACTTCGGAATTGTCCCAGTGTAGCCGGGAAAGCCTGCTGCTGCCTCGGTGATCTGCCCCGTGCCGATGTTGTGGGAGTTCCGGCCCGTAACCAGGGAGGCACGTGTGGGCGAGCAAATGGCCGTGGTGTGGAAGCGGTTGTAAGAGACACCCCGCGATGCCAGCTTGGACAGGGTAGGGGTGTGGATCGGACCACCAAAAGTGTCAGGAGCTCCAAATCCCACATCATCGTTCATGATTACCACGATGTTTGGGACATCCTTCTTCAACGGCTTGCGCTTGGCTGGCCAGCTGTTCTTCGAGTCGGCAAGAGTTGGCCCCACCACAGCCTCGGATGGCATCGGCGGGAATGGAAGATCGGGGCCCGGAAACTGTGCGTCGGCTACAGCCAGGCTCAGGAACCCCAAGGCGCACCAGGACAGCCTCATGGCTGGAATGTCACGCGTTGTGCGCGTCAAATGTGTCAAGCCCTGCTACGTCCTGCTGTCCTACTATGGGGAGGCTCCTGAGCCGAAACGGGTTCGCAGCCATCCGCAACGGTACGACACACGGCATTCAGCAAGTAATTGAACATAAGACTGTACTGGTAGTTCAGCCCTGTGGGCTAGCACTTTCACTTTGGCAGTGGCGACTGCGACCCGAAACGGCCCTGAGCCATGGACCACGGCCCGAAGCAGCACTAGCCGGTCCGGGAGCTCCCCGGCGATCAAGAAGCGCTGGCAAGGTGATGTGAGTGATGTGCGGCAAGGGCTTGGGGGAGGGCCCAACAGCTTAGTAATTTAGTAGCCTCAAGCAAGGCGAGCACTCGACCGCCCCATACCCCAAACCCTCCATGTGCCTGCAGCGCCGGCGCGGCCTCCTCCAGCTCGGCCTGGCGCCGCTGGAGGACCTCATTGCAACTTGCAAGTTTGCAAAGCTGAAGCGCTTTGTTGGGGGCTTGGCACTGGACCTCGCACTTGCAGACAGCAGGCTTGCTTCTGGGTGTGGCCGAAGGTGCCAAACCCCGAAGTGTTGCAATTCTTAACTTAGCCAGCACCTCATGCGACCCGAACAGCACAAAGGGGAAAAAACAAATACCAGAAGATCAAATGTGGGTTTCAACCACGCCAGACCATCATCAAAGCCTTCCTACTTTCGGGATTGCGCATACCCCCCATCTATTATCAAACACAGCGCATGTTTATCCGGTCTGGGTCAATTACGGTCTCATCCTCTCCCAGCGTTGCGGACTTTCGGAGTTCCTGCACGCGAAGTGGGAGCATGTCTCGTCAGGCTTCAAAATGTCTGGGCTGAGTAGGCTTGAGCGAATTCTTGACATGCGCCGAGATGCTGTGACAACAAACCCAGTTCATGACAGTGGAAAGAAAAATTCTACCAACGAGAATGTGTAGCGAATGAAATGATGCAAGCTTGAAACTTATGTATGGGTAAAACTGACGGCGGCCACAACCCAAAAAAATGAAGCGCATGCAGTGTCAAGAATGCGCGTATGTTTACAAGACTGTGCATTCACTGTCGCTACCATCAGCGAGAAGAAGCTCAATCATGCGCCGATGAACGCATGAACTAAGCACTTTGGAAACGTCCAGGATGCCAGCTCAGTTCCGAAGGTCCAATGTCGACGATAGCACCCAAGCGGCTAGAGCCAAGGCCGACAATCCTGCAGCAAGGTCACCAGCTCCTCACGGGAGGCGTCACCTGTGCAAGCGCTGGTTCTTTGCAATATGGGCCGGACACACACAATCTGTTCAAGGCAATAAACAAACACAGCAGTCAAAATTTAGCGAGAAACTAGCCTACGGGCCTACTCCGCGCAAAAGATGCACATCTGCAACTTGCAACGTGCAAAGTGGTGGGTAAAGCAATGCCCCAAACATGTGTGCCTCTGCCAGTCGTCACAGCCTGCGATATGTCGATACCTAACTCGCTAGCGACCCTCATCGAATGTCGGCTTTGGGCACTGCACAGGAGGGAGCCATGCAACGCAAAAACTATACTGTTTTGACATGCTACGGGTGATGTCCAAGCATCCATGCAAGGCAAACGCAGCTGTTAAACTTGCAAACTTCAAGCCAAAAACACTAAACAACCAGTGCTCATGGTTTGAGATCACAATGAACAACCCTGCCGATGATTATAGGTAATCCTGGCTGTACTGGCGGCTGCTGATGGCTAAGCGTTCTTGTGCACGCGCCTCAGATGCCCAGCAACGCAAACCGCTTGGATGCGCCAAGCCTGCGAAAACAAACAACTCGAATTGATGTTGTTCCACGTTGTTCCTTATTTCTGCTGCTTCTCAAACTACTTTGCGCAATTCAGTTGCCAATTCCTGAAGGATGTTCCGACATCAAGGCTCCTGGCTCTTGCTTGCTGCGGTCCAGATGTCTCACATCACCAAGTTGAAAACTATCAAGTTCAAGCAGAACTGATCCAGCACCGGCCTGTTGGTCTGCAAATGTGCCTCGCAGCGTCATCAGGTTCAACAAGTCAACAAAAATCAAACTGCAAATTCATAACTGGTCGGATCGCCCCCCTGCTCTGCCATGTTGTTAGATGTTATCGAAAGCTCATGATTTGTATTCGCAATCGGGCGCCCAGCCGAAGAGCAGGTCTTTGGCTCCATCGACACAGAACCTGCCGAGCTTCTTCGTCACCAACCACGCGGCGATTGAAATTCAATCTGCTCTAATCTGAGAGTCACAGAATGGAAAAGGCCTTGCACCATGAGCGGCTTGCCATCAGCAACGGAACATTCAAGCTTGAAGCGTTGTCCAGTGACTCTCTGAAGTGGTGGAGTGCGCATGCTTTGTTTGGACAAATGTCGTGTTTTCTGGATACATTCGGCGCATGACATTGTTGTCCATCTGACATACTTGCTTGCACAGAGCTTACAGCCATTGTGAGATGCCTGCGGCGACAATTTTTTTCCCGACCCGCCCCCCCCCCCCCCTCCCCCCGCCCCCATATAAGACATGCAAGCTCCGCATCTTCGTGAGTACGAAACAGGGTTCTGACTGCAGCCGAAAATTGCCACAACGTCATGTTGATACAATTGCCTTCACGCCCCCCAATTCCACGCGTTGTTCACTCGGTAGGTTCGTTGGGACATGTAGCCACGCTTGCACATGACAGAACATAGGAGTGTCGACCATGCACCGTTGGAAACCAGCATTTTCGGCCCCAGCAGAGTGCCTGACACTGCAGCCTCTTTAGCACACGGCCTGCCGGCAACGTGAATGGGCCAGGTAGGGGGAAGCATGGCCCGGCACACACAATTGGCTTCTCTACAGTTTTGTTCTCAAGTCCGTGGAAGATAGTGGGTGGGTCTAGAAGGGATGCTGGAATGCTTGCAGCTATTTCTCCGAACGAGGTTGCAGCACCGCATCACCTTCCCGTTTGGGAGCTTCGGACAGAAAAATGCCAAAGAACTCTTCTGTCTGCGCCTCCGGCGTCAGTCGAAGAGCGAGCTGGTTGAAAGTATATATGACGAATTAAAGTTGGCAAGATTTGGGAAAATCGTGTTGTGATCTGCTGCATTCACACCCATCCACTCCGACACCGGGAAAAGGATGCTCTCCCACGGATACTTGGGAATCAACCGCCCCCGACCAACGTCCTCAACAAGGGTCCGGGGCAACATACATTCCGTTTCAGAAGAGGGTCTCTTGGCATGGTGAGCGGACTACACTCAGAAGCTACCTTGCACGTACGGCACGCGTCTAACATGCACGTCGCTGCTTGCCAGTTGCAGTACTGTGGCTGAAGTGTCTGCTTTCTTCGGGTCTCTGGAACTGTAGATGCCAGCACACACTGTCTGCACAGTCCTGATTGTTGCCCTCAAGCAAGCTGTCTGGATAATCGTTGAGGACCTTTCCACCTCGAACGGCACCTCCCAAAAACTCAGCATCTCTGGCAAAAAGGATCGGGTGTCTTACATGGACCCATACACTCTAACCTCTACATCTATACACCCGTCCGCGAGCTGATGCTTGGAAACTGGCTGCAACAGGGCAAGGACCTCCCAGAACGAAGTGGTTGCCGGCCCATCCATGGTCGGTCCCCTGCGAGCGTTCCGCAGCAACTGTCAGCGACTTATGATGTCCAGTTTCTCGAACCCTGTGACAAGGCCTCTTCTGTGGAACGAATCAAAATACTGGGCAGGTTGCTAAATTCTGTGCAGTCCTTGCCATTCGAGGTCAGCGTGCGCCCAAAATCCGACGAGGAGACCATCGTGACGGCGTCGAACAAGCCTTGAGCTTTCATCTCCGCCACGAAGGCCTCACAGTAGTGGTGTGAGCATGAAATGTATGAAAGAAGGATTACAAGTGAGTATGATCCATATGTCAGACTCTGTCAGACCTCCAATGCGATGTTGAGGTAGTCGAAGTTCTCATCCATTACCTTTTGGCAGCTGCAAGGCAAATGCCCCGATCTGGACACAGAAGTGATTACAGTGATTACAGACATGGCCTGGCCTCGTGAATTTCGTTGTGTGTGTCAAAGCCCGCCAACTCCACATAGAAGAAGTCTCGTTCAACTTGACGCTCCTAGGCAGACAGGGCCAGGAAGTGGCGCGAGCGGCGCAATGCCACAATGCCATGCCAGCTCTTGACAAAGGTTCGTTGCGCGTCACGATGAGTTTGGCCACTGCCTCCATCGTCTGCATCAGCTTCCCGGCAGTGCCATCAGGAATGCTCCAAGTGGTCATGAGCGTAACATTTGCCAGCTGGTCATACAGCTCTTGGTTCGAGTCCTCGGCTCCGGAAGATGCAGCCCGCGTCAAGCCCCTCATGATATCTCATGATGCTGCTCTGATCACTAATCATATTTACGCCACTCCCAAAAACAAAGAACATCTTGGACGCAGCTTCACCCCAGGCAGTCCAAGCGTCAACGAGCGCCCCAGCACTCTTGGCGTACTCCTCGCAGTAGATGTTCCCAAGCTCCTGCTGCGTCAGTTCCTTCAGGAGCTCCCTCTTCCCCGTATAATTCAGAAGCCTCTCAAAGAGGCACCGCGGGATGATCCGGGATGTCTCAGAAATGCACAGAAGAAGCAACACACCTCTCAGATTCGTGGCCGAGGCACGTGGGCACCTCGCCAGTGATGGGGACGCCAACCTGGCCGACGTAGTTGCCCTGCGACCAAGTCTGGCGGCCCTTGAGCGAGAAGCTCATGGTGCTCAGGCCCTGGGTCTGGCTCAGTGAATCTGCCATACGGCCCCCGACGCCCCTCGGGCCAGAGCCCCGCACCTCGGCTCTCAACACGTTCCAAGCACGTTCCAAGCACGTTCCCAACACCCAAATGTTCAACCGCCCAGAACACGCGAAACATTGTAAAGTGACAGGAGCCACGAACCCAGATACGTGTCACATCTTGGCGACCTTCTACCCGACGCAGCACACGAAGAGGCCCGGGAAAAACAACCAAGACGAAGAGAGCAGAAATAAACATGAAACGGTTCAAAACAACGACCACCGGGAACCCCATCCGCGTGACGGTCGACACTTCGAGGGCGCAGCGAAAGTCCAAAAGCCACGACGGTGACAAAGATCGCGACCCCCATCAGGCCCATCTCTCTGACTGTTGGCACTTTCGACAAAAGCGATGACAGTCACGAGGATCGCGACCCTCAGGCACCCCATCCCTGTGACGTCCTGTGGCTCTATTGGCACTCATCGATGTTCAAAACGCAGGGCTTCCACAACATTCCACAACTAATTACAGCTCCCGTCGATTTGGGTCACCTCTCCCACGCCAGACCCCAACTCTCTGAACGGGAAGCCTTCTGTTACGCATTCAAAAAAGAGAGAGAGTGTGAGAGAGAGAGAGAGAGACCATCGCAGCCAGCATGCCTGGCACTTCAGCGTCTGTGCTGCCTCGGCCTGGTCCGAGTGGGAGAAGAGCCCCGCGCAAGTGGCCTTCGAGCCCTGCAGATTGCGAGGCTGTAACTCACGGCTGGTTGTTATAGCCCTTAAAAAACCACTACACCCCGTTTGCGTTTTCTCCGAGCCTTGAAGTAGTCGTTCTTGTCCATCGGCTCTACCAAGGAGCCGACGTTGCTGATGAAGGCTGCTCGCCCTTCCTGGCATCTGTATCTAGTGCACCCGAGCTTACGGGCCCACGTGCAAGTCACTGTCGGCTCCTGGTACAGGGCATGCAGCGCAGGAAGCTTGTAGTGGACGCCGAATTTGCTACAGGTCTGCCCGGACGTGCTGACTTCCAGCAGGTTGGCATTTGGCATGGCTGCCGACTTCCTGACTGACTGGTATTCCGAATTCAGCGCGCAGTCGATAGGGACCACCAGGTTGAAGGTGTCCGCCCCTCCACCCAAGTACCTAGCTTTTAGCACATAAGGATCATTCCTAACCATGCCCCTCCGCACTCCAAACGATGCAGATAACTGCACATTCGGAAAGTCCGCAAAGCGCTACAAAGCGCTACAAGCACTCTAATGCTGAGGCATGCTCAGGCCTCTCAAGCAACGCCCTAAGTCCACGGCAAGGGGCAAGTTGATCAGAGCCTTGTAGGAGGCCGGCACGTGCGGCGTTGCAGTTGTGGCGCTGCTGCTCCGCGGGCCCTGTGGCTTGGGATCTCCAAGGGCATTGAACTCCGGAGCCAAGACGATCGCCTCCTGCATGGCCTGGACCCCTTCCTTCTGAAAAGCCGCCTCGGCCACCTGCTGAGAGTGGTTAGTGAGGCGGCCACCTGTGAGAAGCAGGTTCAGCTCCTCCAGAATGCCAGTTGGGTCGGTAGGGCTGGAGCTGGAGCCCCAAGTCTTTGTGAAGGAGCTCTGGTTGCAGGCATCCGTCTCCAGGCCAAAGCCCCCATCACAAGCTGTGACCCCTCCATGCTTGATCAAAGAGAGCATGCCGTTGATGAAATTCACAACGGTGGAGCCCTCAAAGATCTGAGCCTCGGGGGCAACGAGTCCGCCCAGGCCGCTCGGCTGGAAATCCGGGCGGTAGAAGTTGAAGACGGAGGGCGACATGAAGGGCGCCTGGCCAAGGAGGTCCTGCAGCTCCTGGCAACGGGTCCCGGGCACTCCACAAGCAAGGATAGTGAAAAACGAAGGTAAACAGCGCTGCCGTGCCTGAAACAGGAGCTCCCGTCCAGCCGCGTCGACGAACTCCATCGCGCGCAGGAAGTGCACAATCTTCACGAGCGGCTCCTGCAATGTCCGCAAGACTCTCGCTCCTCTGGCGCTTCTTGAGCGGCCATTCCGGTCGAAAATGATGCTAAATAAGGAGCCCTCCCTTGCAGCAAAGGTTCGCGCAATGCTCCCCGCGTGTCGATAGAGGCTTGGGCTTCTGGATGAAGGAGCACCTGGGTCCGGACATAGAAGAAATCCCAGCTGCCCTCAAAGTCAAGGAAACTATCCAACACTCCTCGACGCCCCCCAACAAAATCCCCAGCGTGGCTTATCACAACTTTCCGACGTCTTTTGTCAGCGGCACGGCCGCCACGGCCGCGGCCAGATCCCCATAGCGGCCCGAGAATGTCTCGTCCCCATAGGCCCCGGTCCGGAAGGCCTGTCACAACTCGACCACCATAAGAACTACACGAGTAGCCACAGAACTGAGGGTGTCTCTTTTTGTGGGGCCAATCGATTTGCCACATTTCGTGATCGCTCACACTACTACATTCAACATACTCTCATTCATTTCTATGATACGAAGATGCAGAGACTTTCACGTGAGACGCCGAGCCTCGGCCACGGCAGATAAGTAGCCAGAGCTTGGGTTTGAGCTCACCAGGCGCTGGATCAGACGAAGAGCGATGAACGGGGGCGTGTTTGGATGAGACACCAAGTGCTCCAGCATGCTCTCCACCTCCCACATAGATGATCTGGAGCTGGGAGTCTCAGTGAACCCGAACAAGGGAGGGTTTCGGAAGCTCTTGCCCGCCACGTGCACCAGGCTTTGTACATTCTTGTAGTACTTGCCTTGGTATTCGAAGATGGTTGCTTCGTCGATGACGCCGGCGTGGTACGCCTTGACATCCCCACAGCTGGCACAAGCACCGGTTGGAGCAAACGCACCGATCTTCAGCTGCTGCAGCTCTTGCACAGTGGGAACCCTGTCCTCACAAAAAAGGCAAGCAGCAACTTCCGGTCAGATCCTACTGCGATTGTGTGCCTTTTCTTCAGAGGGTGGACTTCCCAGTCAGAATGCCAAGAATCAAAGGCAGCCTGAAGCTCGACAGAGATTGGGCAAACGCATGAAGTCGCCGCGCTGCTGCATTCTGCGGGGCAGGCGGTGACGTCGGGCTGTAGACTGTCAACCCAGCTGACACGGATCTTATTCATCTTCGTGTCCTCATCCTCAGGGGTGTCGCTAAACAAGCAATCCAGCATTGCGATCAGAAGCGGGGTCCTTCTGCGAGGTAACTTTGCCAGCATCATCCACGGACACATTGATGCTGCAATTGACCTGCTGTTGTTCCGATCTAGAATACCCCCAGGTAGTGAAGCCGGACGCCTTATCATGAAGTATGCAAGTACGCCCAACACCTCAAGAGCCTAAAGCCAAAAGTCTTTGGACTCTCGCACTTGGCTAACCACTTAACATGAGGATGGGGGGTGGGAAGGGAAATAGGGACCGTCACCGATCGAAGCCTGACTCCCCCTTTCCAGCCGCAGGAAGCAGCCCAGAAATGGGTACCGGTACTGCTGGGAGGGGGCACTCTGTTTTCTCCTATTCATTGACCCAAACACAAAACCCCCCTCAGGCACCTATTTCCAAGTATTTCCAAAAGTTCACAGTGCTTCTTAATTGGGAAAGCACCCGGCCGGCCCCAGAAATGGGCACCGAGTGGGGAGGGGGACTCTCTCCTATTCACCGCCAATTAAAAACACAATTCTCCGGCACCTGTTTGTGTAAGCAGGATGCATGAAAATATGTGCCTGACAGGGGATTTGTGTTTGGGTTCTATTTGCCTGACAGGGGGGTTGTGTTTGGGTCACATTGATAAAGAGAGTAGAGTCCCCCCACACCCGGCACTTTCTGGGGCTGGCTGTCAGTTGGAGCTGCAGGCTGAGGGTAAAGGGCGAAGAGTATCCACGTAATCATAGTACTTGTAGAGTGGTCCAAAAGAGTCTCTGGAACATATTCATTCTCTCCACCCCACACCCCCAACATAGGTACCAGAGACAGGTGACAAGGAGAGTCACTCACCCCCCCCCCCATCCAAGCAATACGTCACTTAACCAGGCATCCCGCAGAACCCCTTTTTGACAGAACTTCTGATCCAATGCAGCATCAAGACCTGCGTCCAGATGCGAGCATCATCGTCGTTGTAGCCGCAGGTGGTCAAGCCAGTCTGCCTGCATGCCAGAAATACCATGACCAGTTTCAAGCATCTGCAAGCATGCCAAGACACGTCGCTGTCTCTGAGCTACTCTAATGGGTGTTTCAATGGGATTCTAATGGGTGTTTCAGCGTCCCAAAAAAACATCTCGCCTATCGCAGATCTGCAGCCCCAGACTGTTGCAGTAGCTGACTGCTTTGGCATAGCTCACCTTCTCCTGGTAGAAGCCACACTTGTGACCCTCACGATACGCCTGTGTACATTCCCGTCCATAGCCATAGCCCTCCTCAAAGCAGCGCTGCTCGCAGTACTTGTTATTTAGCCAAACGTTGGCATTGATACACTTGCTGGGGAAACTGGAGCTCGACTGGTTCTCACAAAACTTATCCGGCACCCAGCTCGGGGGCCGGATATTGGTGCAGCCGTCACAACAGTAGCTACCTCCAGCAAAGGTCCCAGGGTTTGTGCACATGATCTTGCTGGAAAAGTCCCGCTTGTCCCCTCCATCCGTGGCAATCTTGCCGTTGTGGAAATAGAGATGCACGCAGGCAGGAGGCACGAACTCGTAGTACGCAGCGCCAACCTTGACAGCATTCGGGAGTGTGGCATCGCACTCATCTCCATGGCAGGACAGATCCTGGGAGAGCAGGACGGATGCCTGAAAGCTGCATGCTCCGGAACCATCGGGGGAACAGAGGGCCTGGTACAAAGGCGACGCGCTGTCGAGGATCAGTGCGTCGTTGGACCCATAGTGGCTGCTAAGGAACTCAAAGCGCGCGCCGCTCGAAAGGAACGCGTCCTGAGGCAGGTCTTCGCAAAGGGGATATCCATCGCCGAGGTAGTTGCCGTCCAAGTCCATTTTTGGATAGGCATCGTGCCAATCGGCTTTCATCTGCATAGGATCGATGATGTTCCTGCCTGAGCAGACGCGAGACGCGCATGCTTTGACACCTAACGACTCTTGTCGTCATGCTTGAAGCACGCTTAATCCATCTTCCTCCTAACTGGTTGCTCTGTCTTCCTTCGTTGATGCAGCCACGCAGCCGGTGGAGCCTTTCACCACTTCCAAATTGCTTCGCATCAGCTGCCGGTCGAAGCCCGTGAGGACGCTGGCGAAGGTCATGATGTCCTCTGGGGCTCGGAATGTTTCGAAAGCCGTACTGCCTCCCAACCTCCGACAGCAACTATCATCACATATCATCACAGGACTGGCGCACGTCACGTTCGCCGAAAAGAAAAACCTCTGCACTTTCTGACGCATGTCGTTCCAAGATCTGCATGTGACATGTGAGTCACAATGCTGAAGTTTCTGCGGTAGCTCTGAGCGCTTTGAGGATTCTCGGCCGCATCCTTCCTCAGCCTTTATTTGAACAGGAGCGGCAGGGCAAAGCTGGAAAACGAGCAGATCGATCAGGGTGCGAGAGACTACGTCCGCCGCGTGTGGCTGGCCTCTGAATGCATCAGAAGGAAGTGCCTACATTTGGGACCCGAGCTCCTGTCGCAACTTGGCGGGAGAGCCTGGGTCATGACTCAGGAGGCTTTTCTCACGAGAAGCTGACCCGGGCTTTTTCGGCGTGGGCCAGAAAGCAGAAGAGCTACTGGTGCGATTGAGGAAGCCACTCTTGGATGCCGATGCCAGGAGCCCGAGCTCTTTGACTCGGTCTGGTGAACACAAGAGCCGGACGGTGGCCACACGAAGCGACAGTCCAAGACATGGCAAGGGCGAAGGCCATGGCACTGGCAAGGTCTTCATGGTTGCCACTGCTGACGAAGCTACGCCTGGAACAGTGCTTGTTGGGCGCTGACTAATGCCGGTCGGCGCCCTCGGCTGCGACGTCGAACTTGGAGGGCTGCGGCGTGCTCGACACTGAAGCGAAGGAGTCGGGGCTTCCCTCGAGCTATGCTGCGAGCAGAACAGCCAGCTGGCCACCGCAGTCTCGACGAAGCTGGGCGCGCGGGCTTGCTCAATGGGCGCGACCTTCTTGACCACAGGGGCGAGACATGATGCGCATGCAGTTCGAGAGCACGCCATATCAGCAAACGTCCTCTGCCTCCGCAAGGCTGGGAGACAGCAGCCAAAGTTCCGGGTGCTCTGGTGGATGCGAAGCCGGTCTACGCAGGGAGACACGCGCCACGGCATCAGCTTACCGCGGAGTCTTTCCTGTGGTTTTCTTCGGAGGCCCGGCTGGCTGATGGATGCGCCCAGCTTCCTCCGAGCCTTCCGCCAAGGGCAGCTGCCGACAGTGAAGTGCGATCCAGAACTCGATTTGGCCAAGAAAAGAAAATCAGCAGGCACCGTGAGGACGAGCTGTTGGGCGGCACAGGCATGCTCGATACCGCCTTCGAAAATGCTTCTGGGCCGCATCCTTGTTGCACGCTTGCTCCCAGCACCCCTTCAGCCTTTGTGCCTTTGAACCTGGAAAGACCACAGCAGCTACTGTACTTGTGTTCGCTGTCTTTCGAGAAAGGCCGCCTGAGGAGCCTGCAAAACGAGCCGAGTGCGAGAGTGCTTGTGATCGTTATTTCGTTGCCGGTCTCAGGCATACAGGGACCCACAGAGACGTGGTCTTGGTCTTGAGTACGCCTTCGCGCCAAAGAGGATTTGGGCCCTGGGAGTGAGCTTGTCTTCATGTAAGCTCTTCAGTCGTCTATCTGCCTCTGCTTCTGCAGAACAAGGACTTCCTATATCACAAGCAGCCTCGGGGCACACCCTTTCTTTGGTGTTACTCTGAATGCTTTCGTGAGCTTCTCTGGTTGACACTCTACCATTGCTGCACAGGACTCATGTCACTGGAGGCGCAATGCGCGCAGTATAGGGGTGTGCAACTTCCAACCCCTGCCCCAAGTTCAGATGGTGTCCCCAGGGTTTACGTAGGCCGGGTTTCACAATGACATGCCCGATTCTTGGAGGTCCTCATTGTCGTACGTGGGGACAGGGCTGCCCCCGACAAGGACTTCGGAACCATCCGGGTTCAACTTCACTGTCCCCACCGTGAAGAGCTGCATGACTTCCCGGGCATAGTTCCTTGTGAACTTCTTCGCGGCTACTCGCACTTCTCATTCCACTATGCCCTCAAGTGTCAGTTCTAATGCTCTCTTCTACCTTACTCTAGTACTGGTGCTACATCAACTACTGCAATTAGCAAGCAAGCACAGCTTGTGCTTGCGCAGGCTTGGTGTGTTTCACACGGTCACTGACCCTGTACAAGCCCAGGTTCTCATCTGGATAATTCTGGTCATGGTCGAAAGCTGAGTTCCTGAAGAAGGACAGATACTCGCCTTGGAATCGCCAAAAGCTGCTTCGCCCAAGAAATGCGAAATGCTTCGGCGTGGGAGGTTCTGTGAGGGGAGGGGGGGTGCGGGGCCGGGGGGGGGGGGGGGGGGGGGGCGGCGGCATTGTAAGTTGTTGCTGCTGTTGATCATACCTTTATTGCTGTCTCTGCCGTTGTTGCAGCCTGGAAGGCCGCTCTCATGGCTCGGACCGCCTGCTGCAGTCGAGCTTGAGCCACAGCATGTAGCGATGAACCTGGTCAAATAAGGAAAGCAGTGTAGCAGGTTTCTCGGTACACCCTGGTGGTCGGTTCAACTGAGGTGGCGATGGTTCTGGTGGTGGTGGGGGCGGCGAGGGAGGTGTGCCGGACAGGAGCAAAAGCGTGAGGTCGCATTGGTGTGTTCCACCATTCCAGGATCAGAAAGCGCAATTAAGAGATGATGCGAGATACTAAGTGCCGCCAAGATGCCCATGAGAGGACTCAAGGTGACTTCGCGAAGCAAATCCAAATAGTTCCCAAAGGCACCCCGTACCAGGATGTCGTAGTAGTTGACCCACATCCTCGTTGCAGCCCGCATCCCCCAAAGGTCAATCACTCGATCATGGCCGAGTGGCTCGAACTGAAAGAAGTACGTAAAGCCGCCGGTGCCTCAGAGCAAGCAGCAAGCAGTTTAGCTGAGAAACAGCAGAGACCCTGCGGCACGTTGAGGGGCGGGCCCACAGTCAAAATCTGGGACAAGGCCCACGCAACACCTGGCACTGAGCGTGGGCAAGTTTCTCGCAAGGCACATAAGCACATCACGTCCAGGCGCCGCAACTGTAACACTCAATGGCTATGGCGGGATGTCCTGTTAGCTGTTATCCTCACGAACTCCTTCGATCGTGACAGTCGCGAGCTAGTCGCTTTTCGACGTGGTCACTCCACCTAAGCCGCCTTCGCCTGATGGCCCACCGGATTCCTCGTAGGATCTTTACCTTGAACTCTGGAGATGGCTCTCGATTTGTATCACCTCTTCTGGAGTTCAACTTACCTGCACTGACCTACACCCAGCCATAGGGGACAGCACAAGCGGCATCAGGACTTACGGGGTGAAATCACCGGCCATCCAGCAAAGGCAACGTCGTCCGAAGGTGCGGGTCAACACATTTTAAGCCGTGGTATGCTCTGGCTCAGGTTTGTGGCGTGGCCGACACGGGTGCAGCCCTGTTCAACAAGGATAATGACACAAGAACCTCACAACAAAATGACGGCTGCACGTTGACGGAGCTGGTCTGGCGCAGTGATCGCCTGCATCTTCAGGCTGCATTGCGGTCCGAAAGGGGTGCGCATCTGTCAAGCTTAACTAGCAGAATTGTGGAATTGTGGAGTGAACGCATGACCAGAAAAGTAACAAACTCCGAGACTCGAAAGCTGGACCTCTTTTTAACGGTAACTGCCAGGAAGAATCATGACAGCACATGTTCTGTCTTGATTCTATTCTCTTTAAGCCGCTTGTCTTGGAGAGAGAAGCGACTACAAGAGCCGCTCAAACATGTGCACCTTTATGGTGCATTTAGAAGCGATATGCACGGCCAAAGGCGGTTTTCTTGCTAGGCCATTGGCTTGTTCGCGGGCATGAACACAGATGACTCAATTCCTCAGAGAGTTGTGCGCCGACTTGTCCAAGGGATCGGCCACAACACTACAAAGCCCCAGCTTCTACCTGTGGAAATTTTCCTCGTCTACGCCTGCTTCTGATGGAACTGACTTGTCCATGTGTTCGCGTCTTGCGACTGAAAGGGCCCTTCAGAGGGCAATCAAAACGAGAGACGCGAGCCGCCCTGGCCGAAAGTACTGGCCACTCCCTTCGCAATTTATTGAACATGGTGTTGATCATCCGAGCTTCTGAGCGACTGCCGGGTGACGTAAAAGGACAAGCATCGGTTGGAGAAACTTGAAGCATCACCTTGCCTGGTTAATCCAGGCGTTGGTGCGCGCATACCGGGACCTGGCATTTGCGAGATGCGGCTTGAACTCACAACACGTGATCAACATGCCACACGCGGCTTGGCATCGTAATCCTTGCTTGGGTGATCAATGTCCAAGTCCACCTCTGCGTTGCTGAAGCCTTCAAAGAACCTTTGCTTGCCAATTGGGTGGTCTGCTGCCACTTCTGCCGCTTCTGGCAACTTCTAATTATCATTCAAGGGGCATGAAGAAGGGCATGTTGTTGCCGAGCTCCGGCTTGTTGGAGCTCTCACCAGGCGAAGGGCATGCCTTGGCCATGCGTCATCCTACCGTCCTACCGTCCTGCTGTACTGGAATCCGAATGCTACGGTAGGTTTAAAGGATGCGTGGTCTTTGGTGCCGGGCCACCAGAGAAAAGTCCTCCGAAGACTGAGGCGCGAGGGCCAGTGCCAGGGTCTCTGACTGGAGAGTGGTCGGAAGACTCAGATATCTGATCTCCTCCCCGAGAGTCCCCACCTGCAGAGCTGCAGATCCACACAATTGACCAACATGGATATCTGCAGCTTCAAAGCAACCAAGATCATGCAAGCCACGTAGTGAAGCTTCTTGTCGGCCAGTGCCGATTCAAAACGGGACATCGGATGGCTGGCGGGATAAACAAGTTGATAACCACTGCTCGCCCACTTCGTAATGGCCGCAGCACCACCAGGGTGCTCACTGACCCAAGTCGAGAAATCAAAAACGCTACCTTCTTGCACATGGCTATGTCCGAAGGCCACACCACTCACAGAAACCACGGAGCCGGAAGCCACGTTGGTGGCGCAGGTCACGAAAATATCTCGATACTCCCCCTGCTTCTGCCCCAGAGCACCGACCTAAGCGCAGGCATCGCAATCGAGAACGGTGTCAGACACTCGAGTGACCAGCTTTCCATGCCAACAAGTGATTTGATACAAAACGAGCTGCAAGGTCTTTTGCAAAGCGCTTCGCAAACACAAGCGAAACCCTATGGTCTAAAACGTAGTAGCAAAATTTATAATGATGCGAATGCTACTGGAATAGCCATCGTCACAACAGTACCAGCAACTTTGCAGAAACAGGAACGTCTATTCCCGACAGTAGCAGCAAGAGTAGCACTAAGAGTGCGAGAACGTGTCATAGCAGCAGTGATAGCAATAGCAGAAGCAATGCTATGAGTCAAATAATTCTTGGCGATGGTACAGATAAACTATAGTTTGCATTTCTGTTGTTTTTGCTTCGATCTTCAGAATGGCTTGGATTTGTCTTGTGTTTGCCACCTGCCTAGCCACGCCCTGGCCTGAACCGAGGAAACAGAGGGCTCACTGACTCACGTTAGGCCCGGCGGGCATCCACCACGAAGTTCCAGTTGACGGCAAGGAAAAGAGTCTGAACCTCAGTCTGCCCCCCATGGCAGCCTGACCTGAGAACTTGGAGTCTTGGAGATAGGGAGTTAAGCCAGCTCTCCCACCTGGCGTCACATCCAGTGATGTTAGCGGCGTATGGGGGCTAACCCAACCACGCGAACTGGATGGCTTGGAATCTATTTGTTTGTTCCACGGGGGAAAAACTGTAGGAGGGAACGAAATGCCTTTTGAGGGTTTTGTGGGTTCTTCGCAAAGTTAAGCTAAGAAAATTCGCACGGCTCTGTTCACGATTTTTGCCGAAAAATACTAATCGTAACAGCAGCGCAAGCACAACATCCGTAATTGTAGTACTAATCAGTCGTACGCAAGAGTAATGATCGTAGGAGTAAGCGTAAGAGCACTGAAAGTTGGCCAGGCTGCAATGAGTGCAAGGTCGGCTGAATCCAGCGAGCTTGGCGTGCAGTCCACTGCCCCACAGTCCAGCTGCTTCCATCGAGAGAGCCTCCACTCATGATCACTCCAACTTTGTGAATATCGTTGAGTTCAAGATGAGCAAACCCTGAATTGTGGTACCTGACGACAAGCAAGGGCAAAAACGACTCAACCATGTCAAGAACTAGCCGGGAGAGCGTGCCGCATGGCCCGGTGTCAGCCTGGAGGCCGGAAACCTGCGGAAGGATCGGATCTCCGGAATGCGGAGGAGATCGCCATGCTAAGTCTGCTAACTTGGCAAAGACTGGCAACGGCCGGAGAGGATCGGGCGGCTGCTATCCTGAGGCCGCAGCAGAGTAGACGTAGCTACTTGTCTGCGTCGAGATCAGCTCGAGGCTGCTGGTATTCAGGATCAAGGTGGCCGAGGTCGCTTGCGCCACATTGCAAACACGGCCAGCCTGCAGCGAATAATCTTCGCCCAAGCAATCGGCACAGTGCAGAGCTGCAGAACAGATGACAGAGTTTCTCGAATCACGCCTGAACGGCACACTGGTCCACGTTTAGTTGGGTCTTGGGGACGGCCACGCAGGTCTCCTGGCGTGGAAGATTGGGTCACTCGTGGGCCTTGGGCGACTGCTGCTCGCAGGGCCTCCGATGGAGCTTGGACATCCACCAGTTTTAAGCGGGAGTCGTAGCGGTAAGCCAAGTTGTTCACCTGAAGAATGAACTCCGGCCCTCTTGCTTGGATCGCTGTGGATACCCAAGTACGCTTGATGCTGGACAATCCTGCACAACTCCCGCCCTCTAGGGAAAGCCACATGCGTTCTAAACTTTATGCCGGGGAACCTTGATGAAATCGCCAAAATCGCAAGGAACCTCAGGACAAGCAGCTCCGTATTCAAAGCCGTATCAGGCCACCTCTTTTCATCAAAGCCAGAGCTATTACTGCTGTTCCTAATTGTAACTGCTCGGATTTACGCAACCGCAGCAGTAGCAGCGGCAAGGATAGGCACACTGTTATTTCCCGTCGCGGAAATTACGAATGATGCCAAAACATAAACCACACAGTACACCGCAGAAGTACTACAACAAGTTTACCTACTTATGGGCACGGCATGCCGCTGCCATAGAAGGCAGCCGAGCCACTGGCGGCTGGCTTAGAGTGATGACGCCTGACCGCACCGATGAGAAGGAGGCAGACGTTGCAAGCAGGCCGAGCACGTGGATGCCTGAAATTCACAGCAGGCGAGCAAGTCATGACCAGACTGGCCAAGGCGCAGCGCCACAAACACACGTACAAACCGACATGGCCTCGCATCTACTCGGCTTTGTGCGTACAACTGGGCCAATGTAACTTGACTCAAGACACTGCCATTTACCAGGCCACAGTTGCACATGGATGTGGATCCATCTCTGGCCAAGTTGCCGGGATTCAGCATCACCACCTGAAGAAACACAGTACAAAACACAGATCTCAAGCGCCTCAGGTGCATGACTGGGGTGGGGGGGTGTCATTCCCCTCGGAGAAATTGGATGCCAGAAATCCAAAAGGGTTCTACTTCCTAAAAGGGAGCTCTCTGTGCCCGCCTTTGAAAACTTATTTTCAAGAGCAATGGAGACCTGTGTAGAATTCCCTTGGGCACGGCTCTTCATGTGTTTTGCGCATCATAAGTGTGGTTGTGTTGCTGGGACAGCCAAGAGTCAATGTTGTTGCAAGCTTGGGACGTAGAAAGGGTCACCTGGCTTCCAACCATCGCCGCTGGCTCCACCGAGCAGACCTTGCGGCCGTCGCATCTCAGAAACTCTAGACATGCCGCCGACATGCCCAAGTGAAAAAGGCACGTCGGCCAAAGATTGGGCCAAGTCTAGCGGCGTAACCATCGAAGTTGAGGGTGTCGAGTGCGGGCCAGCCCTGTGAGCAGTCGTCGCCATCATACCCATAGCCAAGATCAAAGCACTCCTCGAGTGCAGTGCACGGTATGGGTTCCAATGGTTGAACAGCTCGCAGCTACTGCTATCTACAGCTGCAGCCACGGCTCCTGCTGGCAAAGTTTTTCGGCTGTCCAGTCCACGTTGTTTCTGCATCTCCACTTCGACACCTGCTCACGTACGTACTAACTACATCCCGAATGAGTTGCCGGTAAACATGGAGACAAAATAAACTGCCCAAAAGCTCGTCGAGCTAGCGTGCCTCTGAGCTGCAGCTCTTCCCGACATTCGCCCAGTTCGACTTGGGAACTGAGCCACATGACTGCGGTGCCTCAGGACACGACTCGATATGACTGGACACCTGACATGCAACTGAGCTCAGTTGGGAGCAGTTTGGAGCACGAGAAACAGGGATTATGTAGATGCTTTTCCCAAGAAGCTAAACCTGTGGAACCTGCACCAGAAACTCTGCCGGGGCACGCTGAGACCGTTCAATGCATGGTTGGAGTCGAGATCAGTGCGGAAACTGCCCGAGACGAAGATCTTGCTGCTGGTAACAGCAATTGGTTTCCCAATATCGTCGTGGCTGAGTGTCACTTGCTGCCAACGCGAACCCTTCTCACAGGGTGTGCGCGGCACGCCCGGTTGCTTCTCCTCTTTGGCCGCAGGGTTCGCACGCTGCCTGTATCGGCTCCTCAGCAGAGTGGCTGGCAGGGCCATCTGCTGCTTGATCCATGCTTCATGGTCCGTGGACTGCAGCTCATCCAAGCTTGCTCGAGTGGGACCGAAGCTCGCATGCATCAGGAATTGAGCATCGCCTGCTGGTGAGCGGGGCTCCAGCATGATGCTGCTTGTGCTGCTTGTGCTGCTCGTCCCACCTGTGCCTGCATCTCCTGCGGATGTGGTGCTAGGATCTGTGCCTGGATCTACTCCGGTGCTTGTGGCGCTTGTGCTGCCATCTGCCGCGGTGGTCGTCTGAGTCGTGGTCTCTCCAGCTCCACGTGACGTAGACGTAGACGACGAAGACAGGAACGTGGGCCCCACGTCAGTGTTCGCCTGGTCGCAGCCAACCAGGAAAAGCGCGCAGGCGCAGCCTGCGATTGCAACGAGTCTCCAAGACCGGTCCATCACAGCAAACCCATCATTACCATTTTCGAGCGACTTCTGATGCTTGCGGCTGCGCACATGACAAGAAGCTTGTTAGGAGAGATCACCATACTACCACCATGCTTCTTTCACCTTCTGCGGCACAGTCCTACGGAAAGACGATGGCATAGCACGCTACAGTATGCAGGTGCGACTTTTTCTGCGTTTTGCTGGGGCCCGGCTTGGTTCTGAGCCAGGTCAGGTGCGCCTGTGGCTGCCAGCGGCTCCATGGCGGCTCGAAGGGAAAGCTGAGGAGGACAGAGACAAGGAGGGAAACACACACAGACAAACGTTTTCTTCGCCCCCTTTGGATTTCAGGGTTTGGGGCTTTAGGAAAGAGGGGCGTTAGTCTTGCTTTCCTGTCAAACTGAGTCGCAAGTATGGGTTTAGGGCGGGCTGCAGGATCTCGTGAACTAGGGTCTTTGAGATGTTGTGTTCACCAGAGCCTGGGATGTAGGATTTTGAGGGTTAGGAAGGGGGAAAGAGGAAGCCAGCGAGCGAGAGAACTTAATAAGGCATGGTAAAGAAGGAAACAGAACCGCTCTGGATTGATGAGCGCCCGTGCACTTGCGCGAAACAGTGAGCCGGGGCTTGAGGATTGGGAGCATGGGTTTAGGGGCGGCAGTTCTGCCCCCGATCGCTACCAGTACGTGCTCACGCATCACCCACGCATCCACGCACCACGGTGATGCCTTTATGTGCCTTGACTTGAGTGCTGGAAGGCCCAAAAAATGTTCAGCAACACTGAATGTTATACTGTTTTGCCGGCAGGCATTTCTTGCAATCTTGGCAACTATGCCCGGGGCTGGCTCGGAAGCAATGTGGCAGGGGTGCCAGCTCTCACAAGCACAATGCTCTGAGCCTCTTTATGAAAGAGATCTACGGCCCACTGCCATTGCTTCACCCAACTCCAATTCTTGAAGCTACTTGGCATTGAGATCCCTTGCGCCACCGCTTCGAACCTGCTGCCCTCAGCTGACATAGAAGGTTGCATTCAAGTAATCCTCTCACAGCCTGTGCAGCTGGTTGAGTGGCAGTAGCAAGGGATCCCCACTGTAACTATCACAACGGAAGTGAAACAAAAATTGTCGATTGGAAGTGACACAAGACTGCGCTGTTCCCGCTTTCAGGTGTTCAGCGCCCTGGAGACATACGTCACAAAGTCCTGGCCAGGACTGCATGATGCCGTGGTGGAACTGCCATCTCCTCCCCCCAATATTCCACATCCGGCCCCACATCCCATGTCATCTGAGGTCCACTTCAAGCTGTCGCCAAGCTAGGGGCGCAGTTGGCAAACTGATTCCGGGCTCCTGGTAGCGGAGAGGCTCGCTAGTGCCCATTGAGGCCTCGGCCAGGATGGCGGAAACCACCTGCGGCTCATACCCCCGAATTTCTTCCGGTGTGCCAGGCTTTGTTAGGCTCTTCCACACGGCCCGTGTAAAGCTCTAGGCTTCCAGGCCTGGTTTACGTGCACGGTCCCGGGCTGTTGCATCAAGCGTTTGCACTTACGTGCTCACAACTGCAAAGGGCAGGGAGCACGGGACATGCCGCTGGACCATCCAGCGCGCAAAAAAGCAGAGATGCTTGAGATGTTTTCCGGTATGAGCGGAAAACCTGTTTGGGAGTGAATTAGGTCACTGTTGGCCCTATTGACTAGTACGCGCTTTAGGTGTTGAAGCCGCCTCTGCACCGGCACCGTGGGAAGACCTGCCTCGGCATTGAAGCAGCAATGACACAAGCTCTGCTAGACATCAGGAAGCGCTGGCCGGACCAGCCGGAGTGAACAGCTGCTGCATCCATCAGGATGCCACAAAGTCAGGTCAGAAACTCAAGAAGGCTCAGTGCTGGCGTGGCAGCACTCCCTTGCAGGGATGCGAAGATGTGATGCTGAGGCTTGTTAAAAAAGCTCCTGCTTAAAGCTACAGGTTGCAGAGTACGATACGTGATCTAAGGCTGAAGCCAAATACCCGCCCAATGTCTTGGGCACTTATGTACCTGGCTCGCAGTTGGACTCTGCCTCTCAGATTCCTCGTGACACGACGCAGGCATGTGGTGGCAGGACCACTAGATCTCAGCCTCCGAAACCACCAACATTGACAAACAAGGCTGGCCCGTCGGCGTCTTGGTCGAAGATCCGGAAGGCTGCCCTCAGCATACCATCCTCCAGACTGGCTACATCTCGAGGGGCAGAGTGACAGTGCCTCGCTAGGGGGTTCGCGGTGAGATTAAAAGATTGGCAGCTTACGGTCCCCCTTCGTCGCACATGCGATAACAACAAGCACGACGACTCAAGCAGGACGACACACACGCTCCTGGCACTGGTCTTGCTGCAGCGTAGCGCCCATGAAGTCGTTGAAGCCTTACCCACAAAGTTCAGGCATTTGGGGGCATGTCGGTGTTGGATGAGCGGCTCAAGTCAAGGGCCAGACTGATGTTGCTATCATCGGGGGGCCTGGAAGAAAGTATTCCAACGACCTGCCCAAGATCGGGCTTTTCGCATCCGGCGGCTGAACAACAACCTCTAGCCACGAACTTTGCATGAAACAACACTACATATTCATTCACTGATAGAAGTGCCCACTAGAGGCAAAGCTCTCGGAAATGATTCAGGTCTCGGGCTATGCTTCAGGGCAGAGTGCTTGAATTCAAGGCCTTTCGAACCTGGCCAGTTTAGGCTTCTGCTGAATTGCGTGAGGCTCAAACAGAAGTGGGGTACACTCCCTTCCATTGGCTCGTACTCTCCTGATTGTCGCTTAATGGCTTTGCATCCTTACCTCACATGGCAAGCGCATCCCATCTTTTGTGCCCGCAGTCGTGCGCCGACGTAGCTCGCTGTCCAGGCTGCCAGACAAGATGTCCTGTGTGCAGAAGAGTGAAGCTCTCCCGCCACCCTGCCCTCCCATCCCAGACATTCTAGGACGTCACCCAGCTCTACAAGGTCCTTTGAAGCTTGCTTGACGAGCTCTGGACCTCAGCAACGGGCGGCCAAGAGCCATGGTCCGGTCCATGTGTGTCCATAATAAGCGTACATTCTGAAGCGCAGTGCCAAGACAAGGGCCATCAGCTTTCAGCTTCGCCGTGAAAGCCCGTATGTTCGCTTGCCTGGGGGAACTTCCCAGAAACCTACGTGACCTTAAGCATGTCTGTCCTGAGAACTCTCACCAGAACATAGACAGCATTTGATAGATTCTGATAGGCTCACATCGGGCTCGCCCTGCGCTTAGATGGCACTGTCAACAAGGCAGGCAGCTGGGCCTGTGCAAGCTGCCGCGCACACGACGCTTTTCAGCCAGCTTGGAATGGAGCTCCCGCACAGCGTCCTCTCAAAGCCACAGGCTCGCGACGGCATTACGGAGGATCCACTGGATCACTGCCAAACTTTGAGAAACTCTGCGAAGAACCAGACAAGTGCTCACTGAGCCGGGCCTCATTGTGTGCTTTGCTTGTGAAGATCATCCAGCACAAAGCCACAGCCTCGAGCAAAGCCAAAACGTCGCTGCATGTCACTGCAGCCCCATGTACAGCCGAAAACAGGAATGTTCAGTCAGCTCCTCGACTATTCATTCCCACTACACAGACTTCCACTTTCAATGCCCTCCAGCTTGCAAACGCCACGAGGAGCGTGGAAGCAAGGCGCGCTGTAAGGGCCCAGCAGCCGCGCGGCCATGCCCGGCCTATTGCCACCCGCACATGCCATTTAACAGGATGTTCTAGATGGTCAGTTCTCAAAATGATGGTCCCTTTTTTGGGTAACCCAAAAATCGGGGCCACCTTGGAATAGTTACCCCAGAAGGGCCACAATCTAGAGAATTGACTATATTATATACATCGTGGGCTAAACGTACGGGACTACAAGCTCTGCGGATGTCCGTTGGTGAGGTTTCAGATAGGGCGTTTAACCAGCATTGCTCTCAGACATCGTCTGCCGGATGCACAGAAGTCAGGGGGAAAAATTATGCTTGGCTGGACACATCGCATCATCGGTCTGGGGTGCCGACTTTGCAGTGCACATACACTTTTTGTCCACGCTGCCTGAACTTTTCGATGAATGCGACCGCCTGACAGGGAAAGGACCAACGTCGTCCTCTAGCAAGTGGCTCCTGGGTTCCCGTGGGTCTACCTTAGCTGGGATGTAGATCAGCTTGTGTCTGTGCGTATCATGCCTTCAGCAGGTCGTCCAAGGAAGGCTCGTAGTGGTCCACTGTGGGCAAGCGGAGCTGGGCGATCTCCAGGCTGTCATAGGAGGCCTCGAATGGGATTAGAAAGGATCGCATTCCAAAGCGCTGCGTCTGCAGAGTGCGGCTGAACGATTGAGCAATTGCTTTGGACCCGCCTGCGGCCCGTGGTACTCGTCACACATGTTGACAACTCCCCGTACACCCAGCGCCTGGAGTCTTGGGGAAGGGATGAATGCGATCGGAACTACCATGAGCTACGTTGGGTCTGGCAGGTTTCACTGGCTTAGAAGCAGATGTTGCAGACTGAATCTTACATTGCGGTGGCACCTCTAGTTGTGCAGGATGGTGCAGAATCGCCAGAGGAGCCACGCCTGTGCACACCCTTGCCACTCACCAAGCTCTTGTACGTCAGAAAAGCAAAGAGACTTTTTGGGCCGGACTGGCTGGGCGTTTCCCTGTTATCTGCATGCCACACCGAACCATGCGCACCAAAGCCCTAAAGGCCAACAGATTGCAGGCACGACGTTGATACAGCCGATGCTTGTGGCACTCAGGCGACTAAGCAGCATGAGGAATCTGACCGCAGACAGCACCAGCACCCGCAGCTACTTCGGCAGTCGATTTTTGTTCTTGTTGGTGTCGCGCGTTCTCGCAGGCATCGAAGCACTCCCTGCAGGTACCTACATGTGATCAAGACAAGATCTGCCAAGCATTGCCATGCGAACCTGTGGGCCAGAGGCCTTTTAGTCGGTACCTGCGGGCGCTTTGGGAGCCCGAGCGATGATTCTGAACTACCTACCAGGCGAGCTCTGAGGGCCCGCCTCAACGTCGGCACGAATTGGAATACAGACTTGGAAAAACGTTCTTTCGTGTATCGCGGGGCCTGGGAACCGAGAATTCGTCTCTTTCGCGGAGGATCACATCCGTGGTTGGGGCAGTTTTGCACTCTACCTGCGCTGCTTACCTTCTTTGTTTGTAAATGCAAAAATGACTTCATGCGTTCGCTTCGTTCTGTCCGATTCCGCTAACCCTCCTCATATGAGTGGTAGTCGGTCGCAGTTCTCGTTTCCCAGGCGTTGCTTGTGAAACGCCACGGCTGACTTACCTTTCGGCAAACCACCGGTGATACAAGACATTGCCTGCTGTTCTGCATGGCTGTCCGGGGGTTTCAGAAGGAATGGACGTTATCACTGCCTTCTAATTACGGGAGGAGCTTTGCAGCCCACACTTCTCTGGCTGTGGAGGCTTCCCCAGCGCTCGAAAGCTCCTCCCCTGATCCTGCAGTATCAGGTGCTTCACACCAGCTAGACCTCTGGTAGAACAGGGTAGGGAACGGAAAATGCAGTGGGCACACGGCCTTCACTCATGGCCACCAGCATGAGGTGGGTACCTGGGCAATGAACTTCTGCTCTGTCTGGCTTGCTGAAACCCGGCTGTTGTGCTTTTCCCGTCCAAGGCACTGTTGCCAGAGACAAGCGAGGACGTAGCCGCAGCCAGGCTGGAGGAAGCTGGCAAGGCCGCGGAAGCTGGAAACATGGCCAGAACCTCCAGGGATAGACAAAAAACACAAAGATCCTGAATAGAGAGAATGGGGAGGGTCGTTCACGTCAAAAGTTCGGAAGCATACGGGACTGAAGGGGGACCGACGAAGAGCCTGCGAGATCCTGTGCTCCCTCTAGCCTTATTCCCCAAAACCATCATTGCCGTGTATCTGCTGCACAGGCGCCTTGCCAGTTGCAAAGCCAACAGCTGCCAGCCGTCCCTGCGACATGGATATCCAAAGGACAGCTTGCGAGGCACAGACATTCACGGGGCACATGTACAGGCCCGTGATCTGGCTCAGCGCTTCACCCACCGGCTTCAAGCTGGACACAAAGCCCAAGGAAAAGCTTCCTGTCTGGTTGCTCATGCGACAGAGGTAAATTTCGTCGGAGGCCACCAAGACCACGGCCGCAACGGAGCTACTTCCTGTTATGCTGGCCGCAGCGGCCACGGTTCCGGCAGTTGCAGGTTGGACCCTGGATGGATACGCGAGGTAAGTGCCATTCACGCTGCTTGGCAAGTCCAGAAGGCCGAGCGCATCCAAGCTGCCAGGCGAACTTTGATCTGGCGCCAAGGTGTCTTGAAGGAGATAGAGCCCCTCGGCCCCCAAGACCACATACGCATCTGCCCAGACTCCGAATCCTCGAGCATGATGAGGCAAGAGGATTGGTGTCCCCAGAGGCTCCCAGCTCCCGCCGCCAGTACTAAAAGAGCGGAGGAGAGGTCCAGCCGCCATATGGAGAACATCTGCACTTAACCTGCAATCCAACCTACAATAGCAAGTGACTCCCAGCTTTTGACCCTTCGGCACTTCGGCCACAAAAACTACGCAACCTGGCCCAAACCAAGATCTGAGTTGGCCAAGGTTCATGGCAGTTGGTCGAAACAGCGCAGGCCAGGTAACGTGAATCTGGCTCCAGTCCAGATTTGATGCGTCCGTCCCAGCCCACGGCAGAGTAACCAGCACCGATACCTGGGCGGGTGTCCAACTTCTGAAAAGCATCAGGTCCCTAATGGTCTCCACAAGCTTTCAAGTTGGAAGATGTTGGAAGGCAACTTGGCTTTATCCCGCTTCTCCACCAGCAGCCGAGTTGAGGTCAATCTGATTAGGGTGTTCAACAGAAGTTCAACAAATGCTGTCGTAATCTTAAGCTCTGGCACGCATGATATCGCCAGGAGTGCTTCCAGCAACACCGTCCCCATGAAAAGATTTTGTCCTGAGCTGGGCAATCATTCACGAGCTGGCCAGAGAACGCGTGAGGGATGGCAGGAGAAACCAGAACAACCTTGCAGCTAAGAAGCCCGTTCTGGGCACTTGCCATCGCTCTCTCAAGCTGCTCAAGCAGAACCACCGTCGCGAAGCACTTTCTGGCTCCTGTGGTGTGCGTTCCGTGAAAGTGTCTTCTTCAGCTCATTGGGTTTGCCGCCGTCGGTTCGGCTAGGTGGGTTGCTTTTGGGTTTCCTGCATGCTCGCTGAGGCCCCTCAGGGCACCTCCTTCTGCTCAGGCTTTGTTTCGCCGCCCTCTCAACAAGGGTTGGTTACAGTGCCCCACCTCCGCGTTTGCTAATTAGTTTCAATATATATATATATATATATTTATTTATTTATATTTATTTATTTATTTATATTTATATTTATTTATTTATAGAGAGAGAGATAGATATATATATATATATACATGTTTCCTTACTCTTGTAGTATTGCACCACTTCGCTCCAAGCCTTGGACTCTGCCTTAAACTCCACGTGGAAGGG